AATTAAATTTGCGAATAAATTTAACAAAGTCGGAGCAAACTATTCGATTTTGAATTTAGCCTTATAGGCTGAGACATTTAACAATTAAGCTCCAAGATCCGAAATGCAATTTTAGAAATGAATGATATTAATTTTTGAAGCGGACTCTCAATACTATTTTAGCCAAAAAGCGGCCACGAAAAGTTAGAATCAATCTATGAATTCCTGCAGCGAATTGTTCTGAAAGATCTAGTCGCTAAACGCGTTCAATTTCTGTTTTATTGTAATCATATGAACTAGTTTGAAGACAAAAATTTCATAGTTTTGTTGATCATTTTTCTTTAGGTATTCCCGTGTTACACCGAGTGACTGCCCCAAAGATCTTCCTCCCACTTACAATAAGGAGTAAATTAACTACGATATGATTTAAAACTAAATGCCTGGTCCAAAGGGTAAAAATTGTCCTTTTACGAATGCGAGTATATCTACATGTTTTTTGGACAACTTAAGTATGATCATAAAAAGTTCGTGATAAAGAAACCATTTTATATAAACAAGTAAAATGACAACCATTCTCGTAGTGGAATCAAAAGTACTAGCTTTTCAAAGCGAGGACACAAATATATTTTCCATAATTTTGATATAACTAGCTTGCATATTTGGTTCTGCTTCGTCTTCGTAAATCCAATGTGCTTTCTGTGCAAATCTCAATTGTACAATATGTAAAAATGTTTAAAATTTCTTAAATTCCCATGAAACTCGTTATCAATGCGTGAAAGCATTCAACAAGAAACCGTGATAGCAGTTTTGATTTGGTAAACTATCAAATTAATTTTTTTTAAATTTGCTTTTCTGATCGTAACGTTTGTCTGAGTAATTTAACGTGTTTTACTAAGATTAGAAATCTTGATGAGCAAATATGAATGTATTATTCTCTTTCGAGCGAGACAAATATGATCTTTCATAACAACGAATCCTTCGCCAATAGACCTATTTTCTGTTTACTTGTCAAAAGCTTGCCTCGTATTTTTACGTTGATTTTAGCAAAGTCTGCAAATTATTTTTTAACGATCTGCGAAACAAGTCACCTTCTTAATTTCAATCGAATAAATTATTCTCGGATCATAAAAATCTGCATTTATTCTTCGTAAAAAATAGTCAATTTGAACTGGTTTATATAGCGGTAAATTTCAACGTTATCAGTTTCTAGAAAGAGCTCGTGACCAGGCATTAGAGTTTTAAAACATACATTACTTCCAAATGGAAACCGAACTCAGTTGATGGCACAAAGTAACAGATATATCCAAGATGGCACCGTTACAAATTCTTACTTCGTGTGTGGAAAACATTTTTTTACTTTTTTCAACAAAAGTTCCTAAATTTCCAGTTTAATACAGTTAATGCCGAAATTGAATTTTCATTTGAAACAATCATGAGTTTTTGGCCAACTGTTTATCTTTGTATCATTCATTTGTCAATCGTGATGCACATTCGTCTAGGCGAGGGTAGTCTTGAATAGGTCGTTTGTCGAAACTAGGGACTGACTTCAGTAGAAGTCATTAGACTCGAGTGCACAACTGTTTGTAAGTCGAACGTTGCAACTTTGGTTTGAAAAAGTGATTTGTCAGATTTGCAGTAAAGTGGCTGTCAGACTCAAACGGCGTTCGTTGGTTAGTTGGTTCTTTTTAGTCTGTTGGTGACCGCGTTGGTCTTTTTTTGAAAGTCGTTTGTACAAAGTCGGGATAGTTGGTGTCATGTGTTGTGGAGTCTTCTCTAATTTCGTAAACTAGCTTTTTTAAAGTCAGTCTTTGAAGATAGCGCAAGTCGATGTTGTTGAGCAGTGTGATTTTCGAAGTAAAAATATGCAAAATCGATCAAATCTATCAAAAGATTTCAATTTTGAAGTCCATTTGGTCTTTGTCTGGCCTAAGTGTTTTGGTCGAGTGCCACTTTAATATCACCATTGTGTGACATCAACTGTGTTATCTACTGTGATACTAACTGTTAGACAAACCCCCCAAAAATGAACGATCAGAGCTTCGAAATAAATGACTAAAGTGTCAGCATTCCGTAGCCAGGAATATGTCAGTTTCCAATTGTTTCCAGCTGTCTTTTATTCGATCCAACAAGATTATCTGAGATAAATTACACCAAATCATAGCAGTTAGTTCAAATAAATCAAATGATGACTCAGGGTCTGCATAACATTCCGTAACACATCAAACTACTCCAAAAATGGTGGCTAATTGAGAACTATTCACTTACCATGTAATCCTTTCTATCCATTGGAGAAAGAACGAAGACTTCATACAATAATTTAACATATAAATGGCCACCATTTTTGCTACTATTACTAAATAATTTTAAAGTTCTTATCTTTGCAGTATCCATTAAAATTCATCGATTCCAGTGTCTTCTCTTGACCAGAATCTTTGTTCTTCCGTTCTTCCATCCTTCCGACAACAATTCTCTTCCTGAAAGTAGAAAATATGAATTTGATCAGGAAATGCTTGCCTTCCATGAAGACTAAATTTTCATAATTAAAATTCTATATCATGCTTTGCTCTTTGATGCAAATGAATCAAAGGCCACTGAGTAGAAGAGTCTTCAGACTTCCACGTGGCCGCATTCAAATACAAAATAAAATCCCCAATACATTTAGCAAGCAAAACATTTTTATTTTAGCATTTCACCAAAACATTTACAATCATAGGTTTTGCTTTTCATGAAGCCAACACCCTGATACAGTTTAATTTCAAATGAAAAGCCGCTCAGACCGAGAAACCGATTCGTGCTACGTCGTTGAAATGAAATTACTCGTTTAGATCTCTGAGGGAGCTTAAGGCGATATTTTTTAAAGGCAATGCTTACCAGTTGTTGTAGTGACATAAGAGTGCTTTCACACCGCGACGTTATGTTTAGCACAACAGACGGCACGTCTTCTCTCTACGACGGACAGTGTGGTTTGCCGAAAATTTTACAACTTCTAATGAATATGGATGAACAACTGCAGCCAATAATCGGCTGCTACGTCACAGATTTGACGCGGAGTTCTGTTTGCACGCTCAGCCAGCTAATCAAGAATCAAGCTAAAGGATCGGCTGAGGAAAAATTCCCAGCCACTGAAGTTTAGGAACTACAATGTGACCAGGAAATTACTCTGACACTCGAAAAGATCTTATCTGAAAGACTGATATCATTAAAAACAATACATCTCAGTAAGAAAAAAATATATTTCATTAAGGCCTCGTTTTAAAATTGCGTGAATAAATAAATAATTTCTCGTTCTCATAAAAATATCGTAAAGATGACGATGACGCACTGTAATTTTCCAGTGAAGGAAAAAATCACGAAGAAATTGATGCATTGTTACTCTCTCATGAAGGAAAGAAAGGTTAAACTACGCAGGATGAATTAAAAGTACTGCCATTGTTTCACACAAGGAGAAATCAACACGGGCACTGAGTTACTTCTTATTGACTATGTGACCAGCGCACGGTGCATCGAGATGCAGTTGTCTTAGGAGTTAAGAATTATAGTAGGGAAAAAAAAGAATTAGAGGGAGATGTTCATTCGTCTTATCTCGAGCGAGGGAGACAAAGAAGAAAACTTCTCAGTCCCCACGAGGAATCAAACGTCTACCCACTGAGCCACAAAGAGTCTACCATGACTCACGCCAAAACGAGGTCAATACGTGACACGTGTTCTGCTTACAGCTACGATAAGGAATGTCAAAATGCTCTATGTGTGAACAGAATAAGACAGAGACAAGAAAATTAAAGATATTTATCTCTCATTTTGCCAAGCTTAGAATTTACTATCTTTCTTATTTGATAAATTTTTTCTTATAGTCAACTCTAGAAGGAGCGATGTGCTGCCCTAACTCATCACCAGTCTGGGAAAAATCCATTCACTCTGCAGTTGCCTTGTTTAGAAGGCGAACATTGGCACATTAGCCCGTGAAACAGGTGCCATTCTTATATGTTTTTCGGGCGAGCAGAGGAAAGCGCGAGATAAGCGTAAAGAAGGCGCTTGGAACGAGACCCACGCAAGGGGAGGAGCACGAAAAATTAAACCCCTCCATTTGCAAGTATCTCGCCTCGCACAAGTTTCATCCGCTCGCTAAAGAACTAAAATTAATACTGAAAACTGGCATCTGTTCCATGCGATAGTGCCACGTTCAACATATTTAGACTTGTCACTTAACAAATAAAGAAGCCCTGACTGTGCTTTGTTCTGTTTTAAAGCACGGAAGAAGTTGATTAGAGCACGAAAGAAGTGAAGGGGAAACACTGCGAAGGCGGGAGATCGCCATGATACCGCGATGAAACTGGCACGTTGTGATCGCAATCGTTCTAACTGACATCATACATGAGTTTAATAAATATTTGACAGAGACGTTAGTTTTGATGTTTCTTTCACCATTCCTGTTTTGTTTTGCCTTAAACACGAAACTATACTGTACTAGTGTTACTGTTTTTGGGTTTTTTTACCGCACTTAGAGTTCATGACAACCTTACAGCGTGAAAACTTTAAAAAACTCGGGCAGTTCATTTACGAGTAAAGATAAAGAGAAGTTTAAAAATCCATTAAAGATATTTAATTCTATTCCTCAAAAAGGAAATACTACTTGGACACAGAGGAGTATAGGTTGAATACATAAGTAGTCACTCAAAAGTAAAGGTCACCTCTCGCATTCCTATTTCCAGGAGAGGATGTATTAATTGCTGCTCTTTAACAAAAAACAAAAACACGTTTCAAATCGGAAAATTGTTAGTTGGAAAGGAGGAAAAGGACACCGGTTGGTCTTATAGTTAAGACATGCTACTAGGTATCTCCATGGAGCCTTTGATTATTTAGGCGAGTGTCGCCTTGTGGCACGGTAAACGATACGATTATAAATAACTCTCTTTGTGCTCAGTAAGGAGTTCACCCACGATTTTTAGCCTTCCTTTCAAGGATGATGTTTTTGATCTGAGGTCCACAAAGCGTAACACAGAGATATTTAATATCTTTATTATGTGTCTAATAAATATTCAACTGGTACTAGATAGCTGAACCAACATTTTGAGCCTTTTCCTTGTCTTAGACTTTTTCGTTCTTCTTTGCTTCCTCTCACAATCTGAATTGAACTGGTAAAAAAAACAATGAGTTAGTCAGACAACCATTATTCTCTATGAACCCGTTTTAAATATACCGTATAACTCTTCGTTATGAAAAATAACCCATTAAAATCTATGAGAGTTGAAAGTTTACCTCTCTCATAAATATTTCAAAAAGGGATGGCTTCCCTGAAGGCCAGGTGCTCAAAAAGAACTGTCACCAGTTTTCAAAATAACATCTCAATCATGCATAAAATACTCTTTATATACATCAAAGTATTTTTCTCTGAATAATTAGTACCTTTGTCAATAGCACATTCATTGCTCTTCTACAAATCTCTGACTGGATATAAACGTCTTTGTTCAGTCTTGTTTCTTTTTTGATGTTGATGATAAAAAAAAAAAAAAAAATTAGAAGAAAAATACAACCTCGATTAAATCTCTCTAAATATCTGATTTCAAAAAACTAGGTTGATTGTCAAGGACAAGGCAAAAAAGTGAACAGCTGACATACATTTCATTAAGTGGACACAACTGACAAACTGAACACCTGAACTTGAAGGACGTGTTTCTCTTTGGAGTCGAACTGAAGAAGTTTTTTAACCTTTAATCAATGCATCAACAGATCTAATTTTAACTGTCAATCCAAAGTAAATTATGTGGGTGAAATTTGTCCTCTTCAGTACATCATGTCTCTACCCAGAACAATTCTCTTACCCTCCTTTGTTGATTAAGTCTGAGATTGGTACTAACGAATATTTGATGATGTAACTTTAAAGCAACCTGAAAAGCATTTGTCAATACCAATATTATGCAATGGTTAGTCTGACAAGTGAACATTAGTATAAGATGTTATTGCTTACAACAATTCTTCACACCTCAGTAACTATGTCACAGCATAATGTACTGAAAAACTGCTTGATTGTTAAAGGACTATTGGTGTTATTGTTCATTCTTGATTCCTCATTCAGCAACAGAGCACCATGCACATCAATGCACATAGAAAAGGAAACAGTAATTTATAATCACTAGCAGCCTGAGTTTTAACCCAGCATTTTTATGCTAACATCAGTATGTAAATTCTCTAAACTATTCTCTATACATTTCCTAAGGTGCTGACAAGGAGAATTTGTTTAGCAATCAAGAGATTCTCCGGTTAGTGATCATTTCCTTTATTCTCATGACTTACATGAGTGATTCAGGGGTGATATTGTGAGGTGAAATGAGATGCTAATCACACTTAGGTGTCAAATGGTAAAGACACAACAAGCCACCAATGATGCCTGCAAACCTATTTTGGCTAAAGAGGTCACCAGAAGAGAAAAAACAAAACAAAAAAACAATTAGTTGGATGAAAAAAAAAATTGTTTAAGATGGTGTCAAACATTAAATAATCATCCTTCCATCAACAGAAAACAGAACAAACTGTGAATAAGGTTTCCAATGGACAACTTGAACTGAAAAAGGTTTTTTTCTTTTTTGGTAACAATTGGTTCATATGTCAGCATGTAATCATTGAGATATGAAGCATGTGGGAGTTTGGAGAGTATGAAAGATGCGTAAGAGTTGCTTGAGGCGTAGCCGAGAGCAACTCTTGAGTGCTCTCTAAACTTCCCAAGTGCTTCATATCTCAATGAACACACAGCTGACGTATGAACCAATTGTTTTATAACATTTTCAACCCAATGGAAAACGTTTTTCTAGAGGGATATGTTTGCTGATGTCATGACCGTGCACAACAGGAATATGAAGCACCCTCGCGCAATTGAATTTGATTAGACAAATTTACTAGCTATGTTATAACACTTCCTGAACTTAATGTTTTTAGGAACCCAAAACTCATGCAAGATTTCTTTACCCAGCAAATTCAAAGCCCAGTTTCAAAAGCACAGGAATTGATAACCAACAAAGCTATCTTAGGTATGAGAAACATGTAACTTAAGCCTACTTTACAGTAAATGGTTACCAAAAGCAAACTCCAGTAAATAAATTTTAACTGGATGCAATCTCCAATGCAGAACCTCAGGTAAGGTAAGTCTGAACTCAAGCCAGGTGCCCACCCACCTGGAGCTTATTTGATTGCATGATATAAGAAGCCACCTGAAAATCATTTTGTACCTCTCGAAGAAAAAAGAAATCTCATTCACAGTGTATTTGACCTTCAAATCTCCAAAAATGGTTTTTTACTATCCTTAATCAATCTGGAGAACCCAAGCTGGGTTCAAGTATTCATTCTAATAACTTACATGCAATCATTTTCAGGACTTTCATGATTCTAAAGATCTCAAACTTTAGGACATGCATCTGCAGGAGAAAAAAGAAAAAAATGATTTCAATACCATATTATATCATTACAAGATATCAAAAATTGGTCCACTGAGCCTTCCTCCATCAAGGTAAGAAGGAATTGAAGTTTTTTCTTAGATGAACTCAAAGTCTGCTTTGAAATTTTAGATGCTTGAAAGAACTTAAGTTTTGAAAGTTCATAAATGAAATATGTACAACAGCAATAATGTTACTTTCCTCCATTTGCTACCACATAGTATAACAACATTATTTTTTGATGGTGTGTAATGCTTCTCTTTAAGCTCAAAGTTTTAAAAATTAAGTTGAGTTCTTGTCTCAGTAGTTTCTAACTTATGCAATCAATGCAAGATAGTGTAAGCTCAGCATATTTGAATAAAAACTTTCCTTGATTGCTCCCTTCACTCAGTTCCAAACCACAAAACATAATAACAAACTGTGCACAACTTGTCCAATGCTAGTCTCTGAAATATTGTCCCTTATGCCATTGCATATATCTTGGCTGTAAAATTACTGTACATCCTGGAGATAATTAGCACATGCTTAAAAGACTGTATTAGGTTGGATTTCCAGTCAGCTCCAGTCTGCTAAAGCTATTTTGCTGTTTTGGCAGATGAAGGTAGCATTCACTTTTTGTAGTTTCTTTCTTGACCATTAATTTGCGTGTTGGATAAGAGAATGGTTACACCAACTTGGCACCACACGCCTCTTGGCCATTTATCATCATGTTAATTTATGGAATAATAAACAACACATTCATTCATTTTCCTCTTCTCTGTCCCATGGGACACTAGGTGACTTCAACATGGCACCAAGAGGACTGCAGGTAATTTACTGTTAACAACTGAGTTGAAAACATAAGTTGGCCACTGTAAAGGATAAAAAAGCTGACGTTTTGAGCATTAGCCCTTTGTCAGAGCGAAATGTCAGCTTTTTTACCCTTTACGATGGCCAATTTATGTTTTCAACTCAGTTGTTAACACTAAATTACCTGCTATACCCTCCCACCGACACAGCCCCACAGTTTCTTCAGAAACTTACCCACCCATGAGGATTGTTAAGGGGGTTCAGGGGAGGGGGTAGGGTCCTGCTCATACTTAATGCACATCAAAAAGTAGAAATAGCGCATCAAAAAAAAAACCCGGATAAACAACTTTAAGGTTCATGTATCGAAAAAAGCAAAAAGTTCACAATTTACGGAGCTTTAATAAGGGATTTTCACCGGTCAGGAAAACGTAACTCACTTAATCCCTTATCACACCTCCTCCAAGGATTTAAATCTACCGCGGATTTGACCAAAATAAATAAAGCAAAATAACCGAAAAATTTAAAGGGTAAAGTTTCCGTACAGCCCCATACTATTGCAAAACAAATCTGTTTTCCCAATGGAAATGCATTGTTTTTGTCATTGTTTTCTCTATTCAAGAACTGAATGCATAATGTAGTATGGGGCTGTGCGGAAATTTTACCATTTAAAGTTACGCCTTTATACATATCATTGACAAAAACACTCCTTAAAAACTCAGGTTTTCTTCTTTCTACTATATGAACACATGAATATATTTCCCTTACCAAGACTCAAAAGAGGATAGGTCGAGGCTGACTCTTCCAGCTGTTATGAAGGTGTTAAGAGATCGAAATCTTAAAAATCTTATCAAGTCGTACGCTAAAAGATGGAATCATTCATCAGAAACTTACTTCAGGAGGAGAAAAAACCTTAAATATTCACTTTAAGTCGCTCCGCCATTTTCCCCTTTAATCACGGAATGCTGGGGAGCAAATCGTCACCCCTTCTGGGGGAGGGCCAGAATAACGGCTACTGATTGAGGCCCTAGGGGGACCTGTTCAAGAAAGTCTGAAATGCCAGGAAAGGCTGTTTGTTTGTCTGAGTCACGGCAGGGGTCTCAAATTCGTGACGTAATATGTGCGCAGCGCTATTGTCGCTCACAGTGTTTGCCTACCGTGTTTTCTTCTCAGGTAATTACGACAACAGCACTTTTGAATTTAAGGAGATGAAGATAACAGGTAGAAAGAGTGAAATAGTTTTTTAACTGAGACGATCATAAAATTTGAATTTCATTTTCCTGCACAGCCAAGGAATGGTTGAAACGAAAGTACAGAGATCATAAAACAGCAAAACTCTGTACGAATATAAAAATGTCCGAAAGAATTCACCAAAAAATAACACAATATCGCATCATCGCAAATTTTACGTTCCCTTGTACTGGTATTTGCCTTTATTAGAGTTAAGTTACATGAAAAAAAAACCCTCGCTTGTACCACCGTGGCCCTTATTTGACGCTCGTCCCTAAAGCTCGCTTTCACGTCCGCAAACCGTTCATTTGTCCTGATTGTAAATGTCTTTCTAGTGTAAAAATTGTCAAGTAATTAATAGCCCTATTGTGGACGTTTCCTTTTGCCTTTTCTTAAGGACAACAGACAGCATGAAAGAGGAGAGTCATAGGAACTAGCGATAAGAAGAAGGTGAGCGAAACGCAGTTTCATTAAAAGAAGCTGTTGCTATTTATCGAGTATGGAGGTCAAAGACATCAAATGATTTACTAGAAACGATTAGCGTGCTCGATATTGATTATTTTCCAATTACGTGCGTCACACAAGATTAGCCCCCACATCCGGTGACTATATTAGTGGCTTGACAGATTGATTGTAGTCGATAGTTGCCCCATTGTGTCTATGGTCACAGTACGTATGTAAAACACCGTACAATACATTAAAAGCAAAAAAGGCTTTTCCAGAGAGTATTTGATATCTTTCGAAGAAAACTACGTGACATTTAAACAAATCCTTTACTCCTTCCGGTTCGATGAATTTGATCACTGAAATACTCTCACACACCGGAGATCGCACGTAATACTTTGATGCTAAACTTACTAAATTTAGTAATAACAGACTTTGTACGTGATATGCTCGGCGTTCTTTCTTACCACGGCGAAAATTGTCTCTTTAAAGCTCAAGATTTCTCCGATTAAATTACAAGGCGAGTGGCTTTACTCATTACCTATCGTTATGCCCTCATGTGGCTCAACTTAATCTTACTTTACACGGATTTTCTATTTTACAGTCTATTATGCCATTACATTATCCACTCGACCCAATCACTAAGCCGCGTGCTAATACCCAGACAAAAGGCCAGTTGACATTCTTACGATAGTAAATGAGAGCCAACGTCAAAACACGCACTGAGTAGGAAGACGCAATGTACATTGTAACTGCAGCGAAGACGATTCATAGAGGCTAATCGCATCGTATGACAAATGGGTTGTGGAACCAGCTCTCATCTTCCGAAAAGAAGTAGGTATTTGTCCCTAAGGTTATCTTTTGTGTAGATAAATCCAATTCGTCAAGACCACTGTGGTTCTGTTGTGGTGAGGCTGGTATTTTGCCTGAAAGCTGCGGTGGTTGTCAGCGCTGGATAAATTAAATCAGAGAATTATGGCTCGATAAATTAGTTCGATACTCACTGAATCATTCCCTTGCGTGAGGTACATTTTGTGAAAATTAATGGCCTACAGCGTTTAGAGTCTAAAGCCACTGAGCAAAGACTCGGCAATTACTAAATTTTACGGCGTTTGGACACGTTTTCACTTCTTGGTTAGTGTATAGCCTAACCACACTTTTCTGCTCTTAGTTTATTGATGCTCGATCAACGGCATATTTATCATGAAAAAGTTAATTTGTATTTGACCGAGCAATCAAGGCTAATATAAAGAAAGAGTGAGTTAATTTAGTTTCATAGTATAAAATTATGATATTCGTTCATTTCCGCATGAAACAATTAATCTTTCAAGCAAATGTTTAGCGATATATTGAGATAACTGGCAGAAGTATTTGTATGAGGAATTTTGAACAATTTTTGACTGTCGCGATCGAAGGTGATATTTCGGAAAACTTTTCGTGTAAGATTTGTATTGTAGATATTGATATTTGCTTTCCCGCGGGTTCTGGCAACGGAGAGAAGTCATAAACCCTCAAAGACACATGCAACATTCACACTCGAGCTTGATTACGTATATTTCCACTCAGCTACCGCATCTCCAGTCGTACTGGACCTGAATTTTGACTATAATTTACGTTTAAATTATTTGAAACATTTCTCAACTAATACGCATAATCTCTTAACAACTTTCTGTTTGTCTACCGCCATAACAACCGAAGAAACATCAATTTTATTTGCTCTGAAAGCAAACAAATCCCGGCGCCGGTCTTCCGCCGTTTCCGAGTCTGCCTGCTTTTAACTTGTAGTACAATCAGATGCAAAACGACCTGTTTAAGTGAAGATAATTCATCGATAGATAATTCATTCTTAATAGAGTAATTTTATGAATTTTGGGGGCAATCGATCTTGGTATTTCGTCAAGTCAGTATAACTTAATGCTTGCCTTCGGCTTTGTCTTTTAAGTGATATCTGAAAGCTCGTTGGAAATTCTTTAGGTTTATTTCAATAATACATTTTTCTCATGATGCTAATAATATTTGGAGACAATCTCGTTTATTGTTTGTAGATCCAAAATGATTCTTAAAGTTTGAACTGATTTTGGTGATCGATGTTGGTATCGGAGTTGTAGACTTAATTAACTTTTTAGTACGGCTCCACAGAGTTTCCCGTTTAAAGGGAGGTCTCAAGATATTTCAACACTTTTTTTTGCCATAATCATCGATGTATATATGAAAATTAAAAGTTGGGGCCTTTTGGAAGTTGTTTTCTTAACTGAACAAGGGAAATTACTACTTGGATGCGCAAGCAGCAATGATGATTAACACACCCACCCCTCCCCACATCACATTCCAAAAAAAAATAATAAAAATAAGAAACTTAAAAAAAATTTGAGAAAAATGTCGGAACTACGTTCGTATATATTTTGGTATCCTGCTGTAGTAAAAAAGAAAAAAAAAGAGCGTATGTATACGATGATAAAAGAGAAGATAACCCACGCTTCGACACTTGCTCTATTTGACATTTAATCAGGAGTGCTGTGACCAGTATTGTCGTCAAATCATCACCCTATCACATCAAAATATTCGAAAAATAATTGAAGTTTATAGCTATTAACATTTATGATGGAGTCTACGATGTTTTATTTCCGTTCATTTAAGTTTATTACGACGAGAGTCATGTTTCAACGTAGAATTCGTTCTCTTCGTTCTTCATTTGGTACCGAGTAACTCTACATTTAAAAACAATTAGGTCAGTCTTTGCAAGAAAAATCGTGTACATCACATTCACAGAGTTAGTCATCAGAAGTTTCACGCCAATTCGGAATCTCGTTTTGCCCGGCTCTGGCATCAAAGCTTCACTTTTTCATGCCGTCATTACAACCCAGCTTCAGAATTTCATATCCGCTCGCGTACCCGCCTATTACCACAGAGCTCTGCATCTGACGTGGAGTGAAACGCCACATGCAGTCTTTTGTGTCAAAGTTAATAAGCTGTAAACGGATTAGAGGTATAAGGTCATTACACTTGCGAAAAAAAAAAATTAATTGCAGCCACTTGGTCTTTCAAATTTACGTCATTTAGCCCGGAAAGTAGTTCGTAAGAAAGATTAACAAATAACAACTTTAGGAAGTGTCATTTGCCGCGATTACTTGATCTGACTGAGTATCGTTTGACAACTTTTCAATGATGTGATTGGTTTAGATGAAAAGTTAATGGTCCAGTGACAAGATTGCTGGCTACTATCTTATTAATTTAGAGTCTGACTGAAGGATCTTTTGAATTTAGGAAGTAATCAATTTTGAGATGGTGGCTAGTAATGATATAAACATTCTTCGGTCTTGCAAAATATCTGAAAGCTCGTTAAAAAAAATGCACAAGTTTAATTTTCTTGAATGATATACTCTCTCAGCATGCGATATTATGAGACGATCTCCTGTTTGATAGTAGACGTTACAACTGAAATGTGAATTAAGCTCTTAATCGTTGCTTTTCTAGTCGAACAGATTGAACAATGAATTCTGATCACCTTTTACACAGGAGAAAGATGCTATACACAATTACCGTTGGACTTGGAAACGCTTCTCGACGCGGACGCTTAAATCGAAATCTCGACAAGGACAAAGCTCGTGTCAAAGACGCCGATCCCAAAAGTCCTCGCGCGCGTGTCTTTTTGCTGGCCGCCCATGACCATTTGCGGGAAAAACGTTGATACCTTGCGGCCGTGCAAGCGATCAAATCGAGATTTTTTCTGGGGGACTTTCGGGCCGGTCATTTACGCGAGGTCTAACCCAAACCACGGTTTTACACAATCAGTGAGTCTCAGGCTTTCTTTATAGGAGTATTGATTTGATGAAATAAATGTCTTTCCATTGTTAGCTCTCGGCCCTCTTGACATTGGTCACAAGAATAAATATTCAGATAAAAGGTTCCGATAAATTGAGGATTGTTTAGGACGCGATTTTGCTACATAAAGACTAAACTTTGTCTAAATAATCAGACCAACAGACGGTTTGCATAAGAGGTTTTCTTTCACACCAGAGTATTTAAGGCTTGAGGTGCAAAAGGGAGAGATCAGAACAATTTGAGAACTATGTTGGGTTAAAAGTTGGTAAATATTTTAAGGAAATCACAAAGCAGCGCCCGGAGTCATGAAATTCAATTAAATCTTTACTCAGTCTGCTACAAATTTTGGAAACTACAAATGAGACAAAATTTAAATATTATGGAAATTTTTACCTTAGAAAACAAAATAAAGAAACGAGGAACCATTCCTAAAAATTTCGGTCAAGTGGTGAGCCTTCACTTCTGCAGAAGTATCCTGACTTACGGACGCCAGAAAGTCTAGTTTTTTTTTCTTTTTAATCATGAAATGATAAAAGAGAAGATAAAACCATGGCACGTGTCGGCCCTTGTTACATGTTCGACCTTTATCAATACCAAAACAAGACCTTGAAAAATTGTTGCGCATCAAAATATACTTAACTAAGCAGCTGTAAATGGATTTAAGTTGGAAGTTTCAATTACACTGGTGTTGTCGATCTATTTTTCGGCGATATATTAAACCCAAATGGATAATATTGTTGATAGATGTGATCTCGTCGTTCTTCATTTCGTGTAACTTGCCAATCATTCGCCTTCCCGCGGGCACACCGAAGAATCGATTCCAAAAATCATTGACAATACAGTTATAGTTTTTGTCCCTATTCTTGCCAATTCAAAAATGTTCCCAGCTGTTCCATACTAGTCAATCTCCTGGTCCTATTTCACAGTTTTAAGCATCTCTTCTGTACCCATGTAAATAAACATCTAGCTCGTATATTTCAAACCAGCTTTTAAGCGATGCCACTAAGGGCTGTACTCGACTCACACTGTATCTTAAGTGCTTTAAAACTGAGTTTGTGCGTGTCTGTCATTTATTCTTTAACTTTCATCGCAAACGATTTAAAGCTCTCGTGTTCCTCAAGTTAGAGCTTATTACGGCTCAGTGCCAAACCCCAAGAGTCTGCCGCAGAATCTAACCTCTGTTCAAGACCAAATTACCTTTAAAATTTAAAAGGCCAGCACATACCAAAAATATTCAACACACTGAGAATTATCTTTATTCCATAACGTGAAATTAAATCAGTGTTTAAAAGCCTCTTGACGCTGTATTGTCTATTGCAGATTCAAGTGTAATGGCTCGTGCGTTCATGCTTTAGTAGTGTTTGAGTATCTCCGTGTTATCTAATCACACAATTAGGATAAAAGCTTTAATGGTGGTTCAGATGCTTTCAGGATAAAATGGATGATGGTTTTGAAATAGTGCTGGAGAAAATTACAAACACTTTCATTAGGATTGAATTACTCAGCACCTTAAAAACCTTACTGCAAACAAGAATAACAAATCATTTTTAATCAAAAAAAGTTTTTTTTTCGGCTCCCAAAAGCCTAGAATCTCTTATCTGAACACTACAATACTGACCGAGCGTTTGAGACATGCATGTAACCTTATCATTTAAACTGAAGGCGGAGTTAAATGGATGTCCATTCTGGAGTTCAGCTTTGCTCATTGGACAGATTTGCAGGTACCAGTATTGCTATCATCGATTTATAAGTAAGTGAGCATCTTGAGTAAGGGCCTTGGTTCAGTGACTCACTGGTGCCACGAATTTTACCTTTGGTAGAACGTCAAACACTTTGCTTAGTTTTGCTGTTCAGTTTGTTGCCCTCATGGCGTACCTTCGCAGGCAGCCCTTAAACACCTTGTGTTTTGCGGAGTTATCCCAATCATCTGCCAATGTGTTGAGGCTACGACGTTTGCCAGCTCTTAGTCTGCCGAAGTCCTGCTCTCGGAAGCGGTTGCTCCACACCTCGAGGTTTGTGAGAACCACACAATTTGCTTTTGGAGCTCGGCATAAAAGCTGCCGTATCTCATCGGGGCGAATAGCAAAAGCTTTACGTTCACCATTAACCGGTCAGCAGAAACATCGAGTAAGTAGTCGTGCCGATGTCAATTCAACTGATCGACCTTTGTTAAACCTTAAGCAAATCGTTACCCCACGCACAGGGCAGAATGACCTTATCAGTGGTGGTCCTTTCGTGGATAACCTGTTTGAAAAGCCCCTCGCTCTTAGAGTTACTGATGAGATGACTATGACCATTTTCCAGCCGTTTATCGTGCCAGAGACCACCTCATCTCCGATCAAAAGGGCGTTCACCAGCTCTTGCCGTCATGACAGTGATTTAGGTGATGTGGCACACCCTCTCACACGCAGCATTGGAAAGTCCAGCGTGGTATCTTCTTTTGATCTTACTTACTCTCTGGATGAGGGTGAGTACACTGTGTCATTTAGAGGGCTTCATCCAGAGTTTGGCCACTGTTCTAACAATTATTGAGTCCCTGAATCCTCAAGTAGTCTCGAATGCTCTTTATATTAGTTGCACAACAACGGACGTTTTGCATTAGCTCAATGTCAGCAGAACTGAATGCTAAGCTAATACTAGTTTTTGTGACATTAAGTTTTGTTACGTGTCGTCCTCTGCTCTCTACTCAGTCAATTCCAGTCATAAAATATATATTGCCAATATATCTCTAAGGGCCAAGTACTTTTTTGAAAGAGGCAGTTCAAGCATCTTATCATACCTGTGAAGGTGCTTCAGTTAATTGTTTTTTCAATTTATTTTCTGATCAAGTTCACGACGTACGCCAACAAACTGATTGCCACGAGCCGCGTGGTATTCGTCGTAACCGATAACGGTTAACTATTAGATGATGTCATCATCAAATCTGCCACTTTATCTTTGAATATATTGGCAGCAGTCGCCCGATAGGAAGGCAGTTTCGGAGCTGAGCTTTGTACCAAGGTTCTTCAGGATTTTTTTTTTTTTTTAACAAGGGCAAGGAAGGATTACTTTAATTTAGCAAGTGACTTCCTCCTCATTGTTATCCGACTACGAAAAAAATTGCGAAGTCCAGGTCAAATAGCGCTCGTTTTGAGATGCCTACGCTTTTCTATCTTCGTACAGTCTGGAATTTTGGTATTGGACTGAGTGCGAATTATCATCATTTTCGATCTCACGCTTTTAACATGCAATCCATTAAGTCTTTCGATACTCTGGAATAACGGAACTTCGCCTATTTTGCCCTTTATACCTGTATACGAACCATTGATATATGTTTGATTTTTTTTTATTTATACTAACATTATTTGCCGTATTTGTAGACTGATAGCTAAAGATTCCTTATTCCAATATTTCTCCATGAACTTCATTACACATCTCTCCGACAGAAACTCGCGCCCAGTCCCAAGTGACAGTAGCGGCCCAACAGCGAGCAGAAGCTGCGTATAGACGACAGCGCATGGCACAGGAAAGAGAGCAGACTGCTGTTTTACGGGCTGAAATGGAGGTTGAGCGGGCTCGCATGCTGAAGGAAATGACTGGTGGAAGCAGAAGACCTTCATACTGTTTAGAACTAGAAAATCTGAAGGAAGAGGCACCCGATGATGGTGGGTTTTTTTCATATTTGAAGTAGCATCGTCACCAGTTACAGACATTTTTATTTTATCTTAAAAAACTTTCGCCTTTCTTTTACCCAATCCGTTACAAAAATTAGTTAATCACTGGAAGAGGCAGTAATGGCGGTGGTGCTTTTTTTTTTTAAATTCCAACAGCATCATTGCCAATTAGAGGAAAAAAAAACAGGAAAGAAAGCCAATCGTGATTTAATCACACCACTCCTGTCGTTTTCCCGGGCTGCAAGCGAATTAATAGGAATTTACTTTGAATTCACATTCGCTGTTTGTGATATTAAGTTATTTCTGATTGGTTGTAGCGATTTATTTCAAATTGGGTTCTAAGTGCTCCATCGAAATGCGCTCTACCTCTGCCAAAGTAGAGAAACCAAGCTTTTACTACACTCCTCATCCTTGTTACAGAAGACGTTGTCTTTTACTCTTCAAACGCGTAAATCTGCCTAATATTCATTTTGAGCAAGCTTTTCAACCGGTTCTTCCCCAATTTTACACGGAAAGTAGTTTTGTCGCAAGAAATTGGTAATACATTTCCCAAATTGCTCGTAGGACGCTTGAGTAAAAACCCGGTTCAGCTTCACACCGCTTCTCTCCTTGCATACAAATATCGCTGTAGTGGCCCAGAGGTTATAATTTGTTTTTACTTAAGAATCGGCTGTATCATCTCTTTGATTGCAGTGCGTAAAAACCTGGAGGAATGTCTTAAAGATTATTCCATCATTGAGGAAAGAAATGCACGAAATTCGCTGCCCAATGAATACCCAAAGTCTGCATTTATAATGAGAAGTGAATCAAGGGATGAGACAGATGCTGACCAAAATACTCGACATCAAGCCCAAGAGAGCGACGAAAATGGAAATTTGGAGAGACGGAGTAGTACAGAGGAGAGCAGTAATAAAGAACTTCGTCTTACCGTTGAAAAACAGCCTTCGTTACAAACTGGAAAAGATGACTTACCTCAAGCGTTCCTTAGCAGTGTTCACATTAAGGAAAACGAGCAGACCCGAGGATATTCGGGTGATGAAAAGCCCCGACGACGCTCGGGAGTGGATCAGATCCTGGCTCTGAGAGGTAACAACGAGAAAACCATGGAAGAAACCTCCCAAGAAATCGATGGATCACACAAACTAAAGAGAAGTGAAGAAGTATCGGCTGTTCACGATTCAGATACAAGTCAGGATCAAACTTTTGGAAAAAGAGTGGACGATTTTAGAGATGTTACGGCGATCACTAAGGATGATTCCGCGGCTATGAGTGGTGAAAATTTAACGGCGCAGGATGATACTACTAAGATAACGAGTCCTGATGGATCAGTTCCAACAGAACAGATACCTAATGATGTAAACTATGCTAGTAGTGGCAATCATTCGGTCGCAGTTACTGAAAATTGGAACAAAGAGCATACAAGCATAGAAACCAAAGACACGAGCGATGAAGGCGAACATCATCAACAAGAAGAAAGCGAAAACGCCGCAAACGGTACTGAACAGAGTCAAACAATGATCAAGGCGTCCACAGGTCTGGATCCAGAGAAAATGGAGAGCAGTCATGCGGACATTGCGAGTGAGAATGGTGATGGAAAGGTGGCGACAGAAAATGATAAAAATGAACAGTTTGATCAGCTACGAGAGACCACACTTGAAGAAAAATTAACATCATAAAACAATAGGTGGAAGAACATAACCTTCTTGGTCGCCCGAATCTTATGCCTGCTTAGTTAAGAGAAGGACAACAAGTTTCTCAGAACAGGAAGTAGTAAAAGAAAAGTGACACCCCTACAAACTTCTCACCTTCTCTAAGTTGCCGTCTACGGTTATTGCGAATGAAATATTTGAAGAGGCTTGACGACTAGGAGTCGATCATTTAAAAAGCGGTTAGCGTTAATCTAAAACAACTGAACATTCTTAACTCGGTTTTGATTTCTCTTGTATGAAAATGTACATACGTAAGGGCTAACGTTCTCTGGAATTTTATCTTAGTGTAGATCAAACCTGAAGAAAGCAAAGTGTAGCAGGGCTCGAGAAGTGTGCCAAAAATGTATTTTAATCACTGGTTAGATTAACTGTATTTTGAACAAAACCATTTCAGATATCTCACTGCGAACAGGCCGTTATGGCCCTGTGGGAAGACAATTTCATAAAATAAATACGTAGAGATAACTCGTTAACATGAAGGAAAAGAGGAAATTAAATGATTTAAACATTGAAACGAGGTTCCACCTCGTTGCGAAGAATGTAAAGGATATTTGTACATTTAAATTTCCGAGCAGTTGAGAGAAATTTCTCGTTAGCTTTTCCAGAGATATGATGTATTAAACAACTACAAAAAAACTCCTGGCTGCTAGAATTTTGCACTGACTTCATGTAATGAAAATTGGAAGGATTATATGATTACATGAGGACGATATTAGCTTTGAATTCCATTTTTCAAAAGAAGCTATTGTCCATATCACCATGCATATTTTCTGTATAATCTTTCTCTCTGTCAGTGGGCGCTTTTTCTCTTACCGTATGCTAATAGCCCATCACAGATCACTGGAAATGCATCTTATTTGATGCATTCTCTTCATAGAAATCAAGGTACCGGTAGCAATTTACAAAGAAAATAACATCTTGAAGACTGTCATGTGACCTCTGAGGGAAAACCAAAACAACGAGGCACATCAAATCTATTTGATTAAATGTCGCGTGTCAGACGCTTTGTCGGAAAGACCAACGAATGAGCAGACGGGAGAAAATTTGCATGGGTTAGCGCCACACCCCCCCCCCCCCATGGTTTTTTCTTTCTTTTAGTTTTCCCCTCTTTTCCGCTCGTTCTCACAAATTGACAACGAGAAACTGGCGATAGTATACCATGCTATAAAATTTCATAGATATCGTTGATTTTCTGTCCTCCACAGATGGAGCCGCGAGGTTTTTGAATGTTTTTATCACATCAGGTTAGATTGATCATACATGCCGGCGGGGCCATAACACTTGATAATACAACGGTCTCCCGTACACACTTCATTTATATGTCGGCGATGTCCTTTGAAGTACGAAGCCTGCACCAAAATTAATCATTTTTATTCCAGGTGATGCAATTGATATCCTGACGATAAAAAAGACATTTCATGTTTACTTTTTTTAAATGTTGAAGATTTTTCGTTTTTCGAAGCAGCTTATCCTCCCATAAGTACTTACAAAACGGACCTAGTGTGGTGAGAGCCCATTCCCTTATCGCAGAGCAACCGCAAAACATTTATTCTTCGCCTACGGCACTGATGGTCAGCCACCGAAAAATACCCTGGGGGAATCCTTAGGAGTAAGTTTTATTTGAAAGAAAGCGCGCAAACAACATCGAAGCTTGGGTAAATGTCCCTGAAATCTCATCGGTGACAACAGAGCGATACCTTATTACAGAGCCTGGTTTTGGTCTTTGCAGACGTTTCTGGAGACAAACGTTATGGAAATGCATGGCCAAGTTGGTCATGCATCAACAATTTGTCGTAGGCCCTGGGGAGATCTGTTCATTCGTCTTTGTTATTAATTTTTGGATTCTTCTTTATTTCTATTCACTACGCCAGGAGGTCTGCCAGAGCTGTTAGACAACTTCTTTTCTTAATCCTTTTATTTGTTAGAAAAAATTGTGACGGCCTGGTGTTCCATTTCGAGAAGAAAAGAGGAAAAGCTATCTTTAGGTTTCTGCTCCAAGCAATACACTTTACTATTTTTCCGAGGACAGATTAGAATTCACAAAAAACTAGAATTTCTTATGTCCCTTCATTCATCTTGTTACAGTCTTGTTGTCAAGAGAAACGCACCCAGATGTAAAAAAATTCACGGAATCATGAATTCATCCACAGAGACTTAATCAGTTTTTTTCGTTCTGAGGAGAATTAAACACACAGAACCTGTGATTTCATTCATTATTCAGAAGACAAAACCATTTCCAATCTTGTTCTTCTCCAGAGCTTGTCAAACTTTACTGATAACAATGTCAAAACAATCTTCCTTTTTTTTTTTTTTTTTTTTTCATATTTTTCTCTGTCAGAGAATGTGACCAAAATAAGGAGCAATCGAAGCAACAGCTCATCAAGAATTCTGTTTTCTTTCTGTTTTCTTTCATACTCTATTGCTAAACTTCAATTAAGGCTGCACACAATGCATCCGATATGCAACTGGTTTGTTGATTTTAACATTCATCATTCCCTATCGCCGCAAGCATTAATCGAATTTTTATTTAACTGATGAGAATAATTTATTGTTCATGGGCTTTTTCATCTCGGTTACCAACTGATGCGACGATTATTGCCTAATTGCGCTGAAAGATAGAGGAACAGTCCGATCACAGTAAATTTGAGCATAGTGAAGGTAAGAAATAGAGAAGAACCCTACCGACATATGAAGCAAAGTAAGTTTTATAGCAAAAATTTAAATACGCTCTCGTGATTCGAATGGCAGATGGCGTAGCATAACGATGAGGTTTTTTTGTTTTGTTTTTCTTTCCTTCCTTTAAGTTTCATAATACACAGACTGAAAGTGAATAGCATTTTTATAATGTTATAGTTGATCAACAAATCCAATCCTTATAACATGACGGATATGGTTGAAGATAAGAGTCACCTTGCACGAAATATTTGTTTTAAAGCAAGGAGACTTCGAAGGTAGAGGCAGATAGTTTGTTATTTTCTCGCTGCTTTTCTCGTTGTAACTCAGATCGTTTGAAGCCATCCGAATCCTTTCACATGGAAAAAAAGAAGTAATAATAATAACAATAATAATAATAATAATAATAATAATAATAATAATAGTGATAATAAGAAACATGGACCGTCTCACAACCTGCTCCTGCGTAGTTGAAAGGAAGGTGTTTTAAAATATTTTCATTTAGGTCTGCTTACTCTCATTAAAATCGAATCAAGTCTTGTCGCGGAAACGTTCGATAGGTATTTTTATGGATATAGTTCAGTAGGAATGGTGGGGGAGGGGGGGGTCTACAAATCACAGAAGCTGCAGTATAAATACTGTAAGAAAGTGGTGAGAGAGAGAGGTCAGTTTTAACACAGCCCTCCTGTTTCAGACTAGAAAACTGTTTCCGGTGGCATACTAAGTGTCCATGTTCACAAGTAGATTGTGGTTAGAAATACAAAAATTGGTGACATACGAGCCATATCTCCCTGAAAAGTCGACATCAACAAGAAAAGCGTCGAGTAAAAAAAAAAAAAACAAAACAAAACAAAAAACTCAGACGCTAAACAGTGATATGCTTTCCTTATGTTTACATTTTATTCTCTGAAGTCTTGAAGAAAATGTTGTATATTCGTGCACCTTTTATACTCTATTCTCTAAGAACCTGTCAGGAATACTGAACAAAATGTGATGAAACAGAAGGCATTGTGGGAAGAAAAACAAGATGCATGTTTGTCGTTTCCGCTTTCCTTCATTTCTTATGGAGTTTATGGTATTTACGAACAGAAAAACCAGTTGACTTTTGCATATTAACTTTGCAGTTTGTCAGATGTAAGTTTTACTATTTCTTAAGGTTACAAGGATGCCTAGAGGTCTTAAAAATATTTGAAAGCGCACTTACATATGCCACCTCTTAAACGCACTCAGAAAGAGGCACCTAGAAAAACCACAATGAAATTAATAAAATGAAATATTACAAATATTACAACCACGATGAAATATTAATTAACGTCGCCCTCGAATAAACGCCGCAGCATGATGCGGCGTTTATTCGAATAATGGACTCAAAAGGCACACAGCGATCATTGCTTCGATCGCAGAGGGAAATTTTGTGTGAACCAGACACAAATCCTTTTCAATGTATTATACCTGATGTCGAGGAGGCATATCTGTCATTAGATATTTATTCACTTTGTGTATTGCAATAATATTAACATGCAAATTGTGAAATTGAGAACAATACAAAAAATGACTTTTTATAGACTAGCACCAAAACATGCTTCTGTTTTTTAAAATTAAAATGGTCAGTTAGCATACTATTGTTTGCAAGAAATAAATTGGATTTCAAATAAACACCACCCTCGAAAAAATGCCGCGCTCGAATCACGAAAAATTTAATAAACGCCGCGGCGTTTAATCGAATAAACACGGTAAGCGATGTCGGTACACAAACGGATGTGATACGTCAACACCACTACCTCCTTTAAGGATTCAGCTAAAACCACCAGCTACGTAGATTATACTTGGCTCGAACATCTAATGGGGTGCGCCTTTCATAGAGGACAGAGTGGAGTCTGATACAAGCCATTTTTACTCTCGTTTCGCGTAAGTGTGAATTTTATTATATACAGTGGTTTGATGTCTCTGTTTTAAAAAGTTTACTCTTTTCTGAACATGTACATTTAAAAAAACCATGGAATGCATTTCGGGGCATGTGAGTTGACCATCACATAAGTTGTCGTCGGGATGCCACATAAAACAAGACAAAACGTCTTTCCATCAAGTTTCCTAACAAAAAAATCGATCATATGGAAGGAAATTAATCTTGGAGTCAATGTGCAAGTCAGTTTGCTTTTCAATTCAATTTTTCGAATGTAAAGTTGACCACATTTGATAATTTCATCTCATCTATATTGTAATATACATTGTGTCGTAAATTGTTATTGGGAGTTCAACTTTTTTGGCTCGTGTCGGAAATGTTCATGAACAGTTTCGCGGCTTCCTTGTTGACGCAATGTCGGCTTACTAGCGCCCTTTCATACTCTCTACAAGGTTGCTCTCGGAGGTTACCCTTGACAGCTGTTGACCATGTGAAAAATTTCTATTACGCCCCACACTCTTCAACGGGTGAAATGGTAAAAAAGAGTACTCTTTGACAAAAAAGGGTACCTAAGAAAAGAAACTGGATTTAAATAGAAAAGAATTCTGAATTAGTCTGGTTGTAAACAATAATTTCTGTCCGCATAGAGTGGTAACACGATAAGCCAAGATTCCAAAAACTTGCTAACTCGATAATTGGCTTAGGTTTGTGGACGATAGAAGTGTTGAGTTTTGTGACGCGATTATTACAGAATGAAAAACTTGCCACCCCGAAAACGACCGATATTATATAGAACTTCCGTTTTTTTCCCTTTTGACTAACTAAGATCTACCCGTCTTACAGACATAACTTTACAAGCAATTATATCAAACGAGATTTTAAAACAACGTTAGGTTTCAAATATCATTCCGATCTTATATAATAATGGCAGGAGGTGTTGAAATGTGCAACACACATTTTCCAACCATTTCGACATCTGACTGACTTCTTCCAATGCTCTTTCTGCTTACCAACAAAATAAATTCACAAAAGTGAGGTTCAATGAATCAAAAAAAGAATAGTAGACGCATGCCACTTGTAGTTTGCAATATAGATGACCCCTATGAATAAAGACGGCCTAACCTTACAAATATCGACTTTCCCGGTCACTGCGGGGTCTAGCTGCCCTATGTCAGCATGTGACAGGGTAACCTTCGCTCTAATCACGAATGGAATGACTTTGGATTAAAAACTATTTGTTATATTTCAGAAATCTGCATTCTAGAACATGTCCAATCAGTTACAATTGTTTTAACGTATCGTTTTAGAATATGGCTATTGGAAAAGATAACAGGAAATGAAAAAGATGGTCCGGCCTTTTTTTTCACTCATGTTCGTAACAAGTAATAAAAGCAGACCTAGTCGAAAATCTGGCGTGTCTATCGCATGTTTGGGGTGGTCAACCATTTCCTCGACCTTCCCGGTCGACCAACACAACAAAAACACCATCCATTTCTTTCTTTTTTCTTATTGAGTAAAAGTGTTGTATTTCTGTTTCCTAGTCGAAAATCTGGCGTGTCTATCGCATGTTTGGGGTGGTCAACCATTTCCTCGACCTTCCCGGTTGACCCACACAACAAAAACACCATCCATTTCTTTCTTTTTTCTTATTGAGTAAAAGTGTTATATTTCTGTTGTTGTGCGGAAGGATAGCCTGGCTAATCGAGTCCGTCGGAACTCTTAGATAGATAACTAAAATTTGTCAACAAGGAATTATCAATTTTATTTGCAAGCAATTTTAAGATAGCTCTGAACCTCCATATCAAAACAAGACGAATCATGGCAAGACAAAGCTCGATGTGCTGATCGCAATTCGATGATAAATAATGGGAGGTACCAGACCAGTTTTCAAGCTACAAACGCATTTACGTATCAACGAATGTCTCCAAGAGATGGTTTCGTTGATATGGTGACCTTGCAGTCGTTCTTGGGTAGAGTGTTGCGTGACTTCCTAAGTCATAGTTCGTTTAAGGCGGGAGATAAGAACTAACTTAAGTATCCAAGCTAACAGCCTAAACTAACCGCCTGGATCAGTGTTGGGAGACGCTTTTAATTGAACGAATTTTGTTGTCAGGGAATAGGTCGTAAAGGAAATTATTTATTAAAAGTTCGGATATTACATTATAATTTATAATATTTTACTTTTGTTATAATTATTTCAGTACCAAAAGATGATCACTTGTTAGGTAATGATTGGATTATTGCGATACCAATTAAAGGGAGCAAGCGATATCGATCCATATCAAACAATCAGTTTTTAGCATGACGAGACCATTTTGAGTGACCTTCGTGAGCGTGGTCACGCAAACAGTGATGGCATCGATCTCCTTTAAAAGGAAAGCGTTTTAAACAATAGGAGGGAATTCGACAGACCGATATTTTTAATATAATGAAGGGTTCACGAAATCCAGCCTCTTAATGCCTCTGTTTAGACCGAACAAGTAGTTTTTGCACTAAGATTTCTTGAATTGAACAAATAATGAAGTGGAAAGAATTTTTGCAGTTTCTATTGTGAATAAATGTTTAGGGATGCACGTTAGGGTAAACATTAAGTATTTGAAAACTTAAAGAGTACACTCAAAGATAACTCTTAAAAAATCCATTAGCCGACTGTTTCAAAAGTCTTCTATTTTCGAGTTAAAGAATCTCCCTTATCTCTTGTGGAATCCAAAATCCTTCACGTATTGTCATAATCCCAGACAATGATCCCGGATTAATATAAGATTTTTTATGTAAATATTATCCGTCTCGTTTGTGATTTGACAACGTGATTCCTTCGTCAATATCGGAAAGGAAGCTTTTATTAAAAACCCCGAGTGTTAACGCCCAGATCTGCACCGAGAGTTGCAGGTGAAGCGATTGGAGCTGTGTAGGTGCATTTCAGCAACTTTAACTTTTCCGTTGAAGCGTACATCTCACTACAAGCTGTTAACAGCCTCAGATAAGGCCGAGCGAAAAGTAAGTTGTTTCATTTATTATCCAATTTCACGATTAGTTAGCCCTAGCATAGCAGATGCTTTGTTGTGGAAAAACATATTCCTTTTTCTATCAAATCTTTATGAAAATTGTTGTCACCAACTAAAGTACCTACTTCATAATATGTAAAGGCATTTTATCTATGCTTGGTACGTTTTCTATACATTCTTGTACTCTCTTTAATTTGGATCATCACAACGATGTTCTGGGCAGTACAATTTGGCAGATGGCGTGACAGCTTTAGCTCAGCTCTAAGTTTTAAACTCTGATAGAGCACGCTCTTTCAATCAGTGACAACGCGTGTTATATCCGAACTTTGTTATAAATCTGTTCTGACCTAGTTGCTGCCCGTGCACGGCTGTTCATCAAAAGAAGAAAAATGAATATGATATTGAAATATTTTACCAGACATGCACTATTAAAACATTTTGTTACCTGAAAACGTTTATTGTTCAATAGATTAAGCCGTTTTGCAATCGACATGTAAAACACTGGAATAAACGAAGTCAGTTCAACGTGATTTTTCCTAAAAACTATTTGAGACTGAGGCTTACGCTGAGGCGTCTGCAGCTTGAAATGTATCTTGCAGCTAGAAAAATTCTTTGTAAGTTTGTTTGTTTGTTGCTGTTGTTTTTTCTCTCGCCTTTTCCCTTAAAATATATTCGGCACAATGCTTACAGCTATTATCACATGATCTTACAGCATTTTGAAAATAGCTCCGGAATTATCTCTTGGAATCAACAAACACGGCTTTTTAAAATGCTCGAGAAAAGAAAAAAAACGGGGATACAGTTCGTGTTGTAGGCCGCAAAGCTAAAAATGTGAGGTATTTGTTTTCTTTGTTTTAATCTGATTTTGTATTGTACTCTAAGGTAAAATAAAGAATATCAACAATCTGAAAAATGCAAAAAAAGATCACTGAGCCAGATTATTGATCAACCCAACGCAGTTTTATCAGTTGTAAATTCATTTTCTTTAAAAACTTTTGCATGTTATCATAGTTGAGGAAATTCTTCTAATAGTGAATAATTTTCCTCTGGTGGAAAAGCTTTTCAAGAAACATCGTTTATCCTTTTATCTGAGATAAAAATCTTATAATTTTAATCATCGCATGTCAACATTTCAATTGAAGTCCATTTGTCCTCACTAAGATTATCCAAGACATCCACCATCCGCTATTGTCTCCACTCAAAAGTTATTTTTTCGAATTGGCTGGCCACGAGTAATAAAATGTTCAATCTAACTTCCAGATTCATTTATTTCTGAATTTGTTTGCTCGCTATACACCACGACAACGGCGAACAAACAACGTAGTGCAATATTCACTCTGAAATGTTTTGCCAAGTCGGTTCATCTGAAGCAGGAAATTTACATACGCTGGAAGCGCTAGCTTCTAACACACTCTGAAATTATAATCTGTCTCTGCGCTTTTTCTGTAAATAGAGTTATGTTGCTTCAATTACGAAGAATTAAAAAACCAGAAATAAAGGCAAAAGAACAAAAAAAAAAAAAAAAAAAAAAAAAGAAATATCGTACACGAAAACACTTGTTATTGGTATACTTTTTTTTTTAATGCAAGGAAACAGAACATTGGATCCGTTTCTGACGTTTCTAAGCTCCAACTATTCCGGCAATGCGGTTCTTATATCGCATCTCTATCATCTTCAGTGGCATTAGTAAGGCGTTATCGCTACTAGGTGTGTCTCTTGACAAGGGACCAACGGCTCTGACTTATTGGAATATAGGAGCATCATCAGGAATTATTGTCATGATTTAAAGCATGACTTTTCATCGAGATGGGAAGGGGAGTGTATTTGTGCATCCTAATCCAACTAAGCCGTATGCCCTCGGTTGTAAATAAATTTTAAGAGAGATGCAAGTCACTTTATCAATCACATCACAAGTAGTCTCTCTGTTTCACTTTCGTGTTACTGATAAAAACTAATGACATAGATTCACTCTTTGGCCGGAAGAGGAAAAGTGTGACTTTTTAATATTCTAAAATGATAGAGACGCAACTTAATAGCAGGAGAGTTAAATGGTATGGAAAATGTTTAAATGATATGTAAATATTACCCTAAAATTGAACCAAGAGGTAGACTGAAACGCAATTCACTTTTAATAATTAATAAGGAATCATGTTTTTACCTTTCATACACAATCAACGGTCGTTTTTTACATTTAGTATATTTTATAATAGCGTTAGTTTGTATAAAAAAGTTTTGTTTGGGAAGTTTAGGCAAATATGTTGCGTTTTCATAAATTTATCACGTTCGTACGTATCAATCAGGATTCATGTTTAGGACGTGAAAATCAACAATGTTCTGACACTTTGACGTTTATGGACCGACTGACGTTTCACTCAAAATTCGCGCAGGAAAAGTAAAATTAGTTTGAGTCAGCGGGGGGTTCGAGTTAACCTGGTTGAAGTTAGCGGGGTTCTACTGTACGCGGAAACTGATATTACTTATCGAACTTTCACATGCTCAAAAAAAGTATCTTGCTCTGCAAGCTTACGTAGTAAACAAATAGTTTATGGTTATTGAGTTAGAGCTGAAGGATGCCATAAGCTTCTGATGAGAGTATATCCTAATGCATCTTTCACAGCCGTATAATAACTAATCCGCCCCTCGAGCCAACGACACACATTTGCATTTGATCAATTTGTCTGAGGCAGATGTGTTTACCTCAGCCTAAAAAAAGTTAGATACCTCGTGAAAACTGGCGAAGTAAAGAATATAAGGTTTTTTTTTCTTTTTGTTTAAAGTACAGTACTTGCCAGTACCTAAACTTCGTTAAAATCATGTTCATAAACTGACTTTTAGTACGTGGTTTGGTTACATTAAATGTTGGAATGAATTGCTTCGAGTGCTTTAAATTTAAGTATTCTGCATGCTAACTGCTTAACAAAAGACATTTTTGCGGAATGCTAATTGATTTTCTAATCACTTTATTTTAGCCATAAGCTGAGAAGTTGAATATTGTTGTTTGCTGCTAGCTCTAGAAAATTGGTAAGATCTGAGAGACAATTCTGAGGAAAAGCAAGCTACTACTTTTGTCACTGATTTATTTCAAAAATGAACCTTTCCAGGTTAGTTAATTTCTGCATACTTTGGAAAAGTATAATATAATCGTAATATATATCTGGCATCTGTAAGGTGAGATTTTTTTTAGAAACAGACTAAGGAAGTCCCCTTGAAAGGTTTAAATCCGGTCGCTAAAAAGAAAAGGAGACGGGAAGAAATGCTTTAAAAAAAAAGATTTTCTTGGTAATAATATAAAATTGTTGAATCCAATAAGGTGGCTGCCGTGATAAATAACACATTCAGTTGACAAGAAAAGACATTGTAACTTTTCTACCATTTTAAATTAATTCAGCATTGAGCCAACCTGTCATTTCGTTCCTTTTTTTTTTTTTTTCTTTCATAAAACAAATTTAAATGTGTCTTATTACAAGAAGTTAACCTTGAGTCACACCGCAAGGGCAGCACCTGTCTCATTATACTTCACTGAAAAACAGACGCCTCTTGTTAAGTCAAAGAGTCTTAACTAAATGATTAGAAATCAAGTCTGACGAATTCAAAACCAAAGCAGTCTTGTCTAAGAGCCAAAATGGCAAAACATTGCTTTGACGATGGTTTTATTCATGGGACTTTTTTTTGCACCGACGATGACGGAAGCCGAGATGCAAAATTTTAACCGCTTCATAATTCTTTAACAGATTTCATGCAAAGGTTGATAAAGGTGTGTGATTGGGGTTAAACTAGACGTCTTTTTTTATTTTATCCAAAATATCTTTTGAGGAATTAAGCTAGTCATGACGGCGACTGAAGACATGAATTTAAAAAAAATGTATTTACATATTTACAGCGCCTTTTCGATTCGGTGTTCTTGGAAAAAAAAAACAAAGTAATCACAACATCCTTTCGGAAACGAAGGTATAAACGACATTTACTAGATACATGTAAGTAGCCTTGAGTGCTAGGAAACGTAATGTCTTAATGTCAACTAAATCATGAATAATTTCATACATGAAGATCAAGCGAAATATTTTTCTCCTTTCTCTAAGGGTGCTAAGTTCTAATTTTTTTTAGCAGGGACGTGACGCTTGACCAAAAACGTTTGTATAGGTAATCACATGATTTCGAGTGCAATTTGGAATAAATAAGCACGAGTACTAACAAAATTGCACGAGCCTGTAGGGCTCGTGCAATTTGTGGTCTTTGAAAAAATTAACAAGTGCTTGTTTATTCCAAATTGCACGAGAAAAAACATGTGATTACGTATTAATAATATACATGGAAAAATACGAGATGGCTCATCATAATTAAGCATAAGCAAAGCGTGCGCATCAAGTGCAAAAATAATTTATTCAAACCGTGCGTTCGGTCAAAACAACCGCGTACGAACAAAACAATAATATGCAATGATATCTTCACATCTTTAAGGCGCAAAAATGTTCAAAGTCCGGCTAAACAGTTCAAGGAATCGTTCAATCTGTATCCGAATCACTTTCGACGAAATGGAAACGTCGTTTCCGAGGTTTAACCATGTTTGTTTTTAATTTCGGCGTTGGATCGCTCGAGCAAAGTGTTAAACTGGGTCGGCTCGTAATTTTCGATTTCCTTGGCAACTCCCATCTCTAAACACCACTTTTTTCACCGACAACCAAAAAGCAGAGCTTTTTACAGTGTTTTCGTTGTTTGAGCTGTTTTTCAGCGGCGGTGGCGAAAGAAAACCTACTTAAAACGCCGGCCATTGTTTCGCTCGCAAATTTTCAAATTTTCAAATTTTGTTGCGACATCCAAGGCTCGCATTTGATTGGCTATCGTTTCTTCGATTATTGACCAGTCAGAATGTCTGGTTTGTTACTTTCTTTGCACTGAATTAACCCTCTTCTGCACTGAATTAACTCTCTTCTGGACTGAATTACCTGAAAACTGCATTTATCTTAACCAATCAGAACTGAGTAATTTTTCCATGTATATTATTAGTACAAATACAGACTGCTGCTCTTTGCAATCCTTCTTGTCTGACAATGTCGCATGTCGCATGACAATGTGGGTCCCAAGCAACGGACGCTTATACTAGCTTAGGCCAGACTAACATATACCGTTTTTGATGCTGTCCGTACAGAACCATACATTTCTCCTAATTAAGCCTAACAATCTGTTGGTAGTATTACAAATATGATTTATATGTTCCTTCCATCTAAGTCTATTTTCTATTTCATCTCCCATATAAGTACAGATGGGAATTCACATTTTCTAAAATTTTGCCACAGAAGTATAATTTTGCTAGGGGTGGTTCTCACTTAGGTGTACAATACTATACGAGTCAATCTTTCCATTGACCAGGTAGTATACCGCTTACCAAGGATGATTGGAAAATAACTGAAGGATGTGTGCGACTACGTAGGTAGTTAGCTTAAGTAGCCAAGGATAAAGGCTGTTAGGACTAGGCGCTTTTTGATCGTCCTTTAAAGATTGCAGATGTTTCTTGACACCATTACAGCTGAATATTAATGAATCTATTTCTGGGATAGTGCTCGCGCGGCCTAAGAGACGGGATGTTATTCATGTCTTCGGACTCATAGACGCTGCAGAACTGGGAGTTCAAGCCTTGGGCCTTAGCTCGCGCATCAGAGAGCAGTTTGCCACCGACCTCCAAGTCTGCTACCCCAACCTCTTTGTTCCTTACTTTCTTAAAACGGGACCAAAAAGCTTTAGGACTAGTTTTACAGGCATCTAGGAGGAACTCAGATGTCTATTGCTCCCGAGATTTTGTGCAGAGCTTTCCTGGTGACTTTAAAGTTGGCCCAGTCCTGGGGTCTGCTAGATTTTTTTGCTCTGTTGTATAGTTTCGTTTCTTCCGATAAAGGCGACGGTGACAAAATGTAAACTAGGGAAGATAATAACGACTTGAGGCTACTTTGTGAAGCACGTTGTTTTGTAACTTAGTCGATATAGCTGATGCAAATCAAATTCGTTCCACTGTTGTGCGACAGGTACAGCAGATAGATCTTTCAGGAAGTAACTCTGACAAGTTGACATGTCTGACTTGATTTTGGCTGCATTAGCTTTGCTCTTTATAAAGACTTTCCGCTTCTGCAACCTTTCCCTTTCAGGGTAAATCAGTAGATCGAAGAGTTCCATATCATGGTCACTTATACCAGCAGTTACTTCTAGTTTCTTAACCACAGAGTCATCATTGGTAAATACCAGATCTAAGATATTTTGGATTCTGGTGGGGGAATTTACTAGCTGTTTAAAGCCAAATTGTCGCTGAATATCCAAGAGGCAGTTCGCGACAGAATGTGACTGATGGCAATCGGTGGCACAGTTATCCTTCCAATTTATATTTGGTATGTTAAAATCTCCGGGCAGTACTGATAAAATCATTGCTGTTATTTTAAGTAGTGAGAGTTCCAGCTCCTTAAGGTTACCGATGCTACCGTCGAGATTGTACCATCGGCCGAATGCTTTTGACTGCAATACGTTCTGTCCCGCCAGCAGGTCTCAAGCGCGCCAACAAAGGCTGTTCGTTCAACACCAGATAACCAAACAACACATATGTTGTATGTTCATTTGGTCTATGTACCTGACTAATTAGACAGTGAGAATTTCCAGCAGATGGATTTGTAAGGTCTCAAAATATAATCCTGTTGTTGGTGTGGTAAATCAAATAGTTCTCGACCGGACAGTTTAGGCGGGAAATGCCACAAGTCGAATAATCATGGGTAATTGCAAAGGTAGTAAAAAAAAGCTGAGCTTGACAACGACATTCGGGAACTAATAAAGGATAATGATTACATAAGTTAACGATGGATGCCTCAAATTTCAGTCAAATGAGAGACAAAAAGCGGTCTCCTGATATAAATTAGTGTGAATTCACTTTTTCATGCCCACTTGGATAGTGTACACCTGAGGGTTATTTTTAATCTCTTCTTTACCCTCTTGGGTAGTGTATACCTGAGGGTTATTTTTAATCTCTTCTTTACCCTCTTGGGTAGTGTATACCTGAGGGTTATTTTTAATCTCTTCTATACCCTCTTGGGTATTGTATACCTGAGGGTTATTTTTAATCTCTTCTATACCCTCTTGGGTGGTGTATACCTGAGGGTCATTTTTAATCTCTCCTTTACCCTCCTTACACGGCAGTCGCGTTAGACCATATTCACAAGTGTGAATTTGCTGACGATGACCCAAAATGCAATAACGTTGTTTCAGAGGAAGGTGGAGACTAGCTTCTACCCTGTTATAGTCGATTTTGGCAAGAGTTTTGCCTTCGGAAAAGCTAAAAATGCTGTTTTAAAACCTTCGCATTTAAAAGGTCATTGTAAGAATAGTTGCAATACGCCAAAGCTTGTGAACCGAACGGGGAGTCCATCGGTTGAAAGTGATGTGTATTCTCTGGCTTATTTAATCAACACAGTTTCTGGACTTTTAAGTTCAAAACCATGACCTGTATAAAGAAGGGTTTGTCGAAGTTAGCCTTAAATAGACCTAGGCCTTCGATTACGGGGGTTGAAATCAACTTTATCGGTGCCGCCTTTAAGGCTATTTTTTGGTTTCTTATTTTTACATGTTTTGAATTGTTCTTGTTATATTTTGTTGTGACATTTGGCCAGAACTATTTGTGGACCTTATATTAACGATTTACTGTTGTCTTCTTTAAAACATAATTTTTTTATTACTGGCGCTTAGTGATACGAACCACTATAGAAGACGAGGTATCAGGACCAGGGTGGGTATGAACACCCTCAAATATTAAAGTAGCAGAGGTCGAGCTCTGAAATGTTTCTGTGCTATTTGAATAATACTATATACGGCCTTTCAACCATCTGATTTCCTTTCTTCTCGACACAAATACTGGCATTTCGTTCGGCACAAAGAAACCATCATAAACAGTCCCAGGGGGAGCTTAATAGAAGGCAAATGCGTGCGGTGAGATAATTTCGGGCGTTCCCAGAGGGGTGCTTGATTGAAAAATGCAAATACGGCGTTTGCATTGAGATCGATCCAAACGTTCAAGATCACCGAGGATATTTGATTTCCTCTTTATTTTGGGTAGATTTAACCCCAATTCCTACTACATTTTCCAATCTCTTTGATGGTTGCACAAGTCTAGCAGATGTTCGGTTAGTGATTTAGCTCCTGAAGTAGCATAAAAAGGGCATCAAATACGGTGGTAAAAAAAACACCTCTGCTCATTATGCATGCATGTTTTTTTTTACCTTTCATGTTCATGTTTGTCCCTCTAACGGGCTCTCATGCTAAACCGTTTTTTTTTTTGACTTGCATTAGCTCTTGAACGTTTCTGAGAATTACCAAATTAGTGTAAGGCACTGACCCAGAAACGTTTAAACTGTTAAATCTCAGAAATGATTAACCCTCTAAGTCCCACTAGTGACCTCGACAAAATTTCTCCTTACACCATCAGTTCGATATCAAGCAGACAAGAAATGAGATGAAAGAAAAATATCAAGCTGGGTATTACTAGTTAATCCAATTCCAAATTCTCCAAACTAAAATCACATAAATTGTATGGCAGACAGTAAGGAGAATTACTAATGAAATCTTGGGAGTTAAAGAGTTAACATATGCTTTCTCTTAGCTATATTGATATACAGTTGCAGGTAAACAGGTGATGAAGACAGATATAACCAAATTCTCTCATCTAATTTATAAGAAATGCTTGGTGGCATGAAAAGAAAAAATTTTAAGAGTTAAAGAGTAAATAAAATGCAATCCTCGATAAATGGAATTGTTAAGAGGTTGGCTAAATGAGGATCAGTTATGTCAGGGGCTTTTCTCATCCATTCAAGGTTCTTGCCTATAGGCTGGTACTGAAGATTGATTGTTATGTGGGTTTAACTCTCATTGACTGACCATGTCGCTTCTACCGAAGGTAACCGAAGGGTTGGCCAGACGCAAAGCAAGTGTCAATGGATGCGACAGACATCTTCCTGCAAGAGTTTAGCGCAGTTGATGGTGTCTCTCAACCAATAAACAGGCTAGAAAGGAAGCTCTTTGCGGCTATACAAAAAGGAGATCTGGAAAAATTTAGGACTATTCTTGACTTTTCCAAAACAAAATGCGACCTGAATTGTGTCAACAGCTCTGGTAAAACACTTTTACAAGAGGCAGTAGATGTGGAAGATGCTCCTGTCCGGAGCAGCATAATCAAGTCCTTACTGAGCGAAGGAGCTGACCTGGATCTAGCCTTGTTATACGTGGTACGCGTTGATGACGTGAGAAGCTTGAAAATTTTACTGAAATTTTATGGTCCTCCGTTGTCGGAACCTTTTCCACCTTTGTCTCCATGCATTAGAAAGTATTCGAAACAAGAGCTCCACATGACACCACTGATCCTGGCGGCCTGTTTGAGGAATTTCCAAATTGTAAAGCTTCTTCTTGAGCACGGATTTACCATTTGTGAATTGCAAAGTGATTCTCAACGCCCCATCGAAGTCGTCAGCGAGAAGCTGGGACCTGCCATGCTCCGGTTGAACAGGTATCGAGCTCTTGCAAGTCCTGTGTACATGGCGGCTTCATTTCTGCAAAACCCGTTCAGCGGTCCGGATCCTGTTCATCGCGCATGTGTTCTTAACAAGAAACTGTCTGACATCGCTGAGCAGGAGTATGAATTCAGAAAAGAGTATTTGGCTCTCAGCGATGGCTGTAAAGAATTTGCCGTGGATCTGTTGAATGAATGCCGCTCAATGAAAGAGATCAGGTGTGTTATGGAGATGCAGAATGAAGATAAAGCGCTGCCACACGTCCAAGGAAAGCTCAGTCTGAACATTCTGGAGTTTGCCACTGTCACGGAAAATGAAAAGGTACTTTATCTAAGCGTAAGTTTAGTTGCAGTGCACCGATTCAAGGCTATCTTAATCAAAATAATCAGATATATTTAGAATGGTTTCGAGCGTGACACAAGTTTCCCCGAGGCGATAACCAAAGGAAGAACCCTTACACGCATGCACACGTTCCTACGATCAGCCTTTGTCCACAGCAAGTACTTAATGCTGCGTTTTGATAAGTTCAAGCTGGTCAAACTCTTAACGCATGGCCAACGGTGTCAGAAGCGGACCATTTTTTTGACTATTAGCTTGTCACTGACTGTTTTGCGCACGATTAAAAAGATCAGTGGAGTAGCGATTGCATGATGTTCACATATCGTGCCGTAGCCCGCGCATACCTGACCTCGTATCGAATGGTTGCGAGATTTCCTTTAATTTGACGGGATCATGTCCCACTCCGGGAAAGGAAGGGAAACTTTGTCACGCACAGTACGGTAAGGTGCTTTGTCACATAGCCCGATAATGGGTCTAACTTTTGTTGTCAGGAGTATGTTACACATCTGAGCATATAAACGCTACCCTAAAACTAGTATAGGTAATTACGTGAGACTCGTGCAATTTCGTTGTCTTTAAAAAAAATTTACAACAGCTTATTTACACCAAATTGCACGAGAAATCATATTACTTACAATAGACATGAAAATAGACAATAGACATGATCAAAAAGCATCACAGAAAGTCGAGACAGACGAAATTTTAACAGCGCGCGCGCGCTATTTGTAATTTGCACTCGCGTTACAACTTTGCACTCGTGTTCAGCTAATCAGAAGCACGTAATTCTTACATGTATATACATCATTACATACGGAAAAACACTTTCATTGCTTTGGGAACTAGTGAGGTTAACAAGGCTTCAGAAACTTATTTGGCAAAACTTAAAAAAAGTGTTTCACCTTTTGCATTTGCAGTTCGTCAGTCATCCTTACAGCCAGCTTGTGTTAAATTCCGAAATATACAGAGATGTCCCATTCTTGGAGAAAAGTTCATGGAAGCAGTTTATCCTGATATTATTGGCTTTCGTCTGGTATCCTTTGTTCTTCATGGTTTGGTTGGTGTTGGACACTTTTTTTCCGAAGCACGAAGTGTCAAGGATGTTTCACTCTCCCTGCGTAAAATTCCTTGTTCATTGTGGTTCCTATCAAACATTTCTTTTCATGCTGTTTTTGTCTTCATTTAAATTTCAGAGCGATTTTCTACAGTACGCCATAGCTGGTAAGTGAAGGCAAAGGAGAAATTCATCATTTTGCAAGTTGACATCTAGCACATCTTAACAATAAGTGCTGCCCTATTTATTCCGAACGTCATTTTTCTTAGCCTTTCTTGTCTAAATTATAATAAGGATATTGGTAAACAGCCAGCTTCGAACCGTAATTAGTCCGACTGCAACCTTTGACTATCTTTGGCCACTTAGTATTGGAAAGAAGAGTGTTCATCTATGGCAGAGACTTAATATAAGGCTTGGTACATGCAGGAAATCTCTACAAATGAACTCCGAGTAAGGCAATGTCTCTGGAAAAACTGAGTAAGCGCCTCGCCAAAAAAAAACCCCTTAACCCTTTAACTCCCAGAAGTGATTAACATGCAACTTCTCCCTATAATATCCATACATTATCTAGCGAACAGGTAATGAGAATATTCAAACTTAGACAGGTAGAAGTTATTGATCTATAACCAAATTCTCGCAAGTGATATACAAGGGAATGAGTTGAAGCTATTAGGAAGAATTAACAATCAGATCTTCGGAGTTAAAGGGTTAAATTGCGGTAACTTGGGAACAATTCCGATTTACGGCTTGATGACACTTCAGCCACTGACCGAACCTCAGATGGAACTTAGTTAGACACATACTCAATGCGTATAATTTGATAATGAAGTGCAAGTCACACGAAACTGCAGCCTGGCACTTTCTCATACCGAGGGAATATCGGTTGATATTTTCTTGTCCATACTAAACTTTGTTACGTCACCACCAGCCTCCCTGTTAAAATGTTTGTCTTATTGACACTTAACAATTCTTTCTCGATACGCAGATTGGGTAATTTTCATGTTTGTGCTCGGACATATCGTGGATATTGTCAAACAATTCTACCACGTGGGAAGAGTCCGTTTCTTTTCCAGCCATTGGAACTACCTGGCTGTTGCAACAGTGTTATCATTTGTTCTTCATTACATCTTTTGGTGGTCTGGTCGCTCAGTCCTTGTAAAGAAACTGGAAACTATGACGTGGGCCAACCACGCCGATGAATTTTCGTACACGATCGTATTGGTCTCCGACTGTTTTTTTGCAGTGGCAATCCTGCTGGCCTTTACTCAAAACCTGGCCTTTATTCAGGCCAACGCGACAATTGGTCCTCTACTGCAAGCTTTCATGAGAATGATGTTTGATGTAATGAGATTTTTCTTTTACTTTATATTTGTCTTTCTCGCGTTTGTGGTGAGCTTCACCAAGCTCTACTTACAGTATGCTAAGGCCAGACAGTATTTCCTTACGAGTTCAGGTGATTCAAATCAAACAGATCCTCTTCATCTTGAAAGGTGAGTCTAAATAGTTTGTGCTGTTCTTAATTTTAACAAGTTACGGCAACTAGTTAAGAAACGGTCAAATTTTCATCTTCTCAGAGAAAAGAAACAGCAACTTTTCGCAGTCAGCCTCAAATAATTTAAGGATGCATATTTTGACATTCCTTAACCGTAACGCGTATTGAGCAACTTATAAGCTGTTCGACTAGAGATGATACATCCTTTCTAGCTGTTCGATAATTAAAATGTGTACTTTCCGTCTTGCAGTATTTTAGACAGTACAAACACGATCTTTTGGTCGCTGTTTGGTCAGATAGACCCCAGCAGTTTCAAAATCTCCGAAGCGGAGTATGGTGTTATTTGGAGAACTGGAATGACCTTATTTGGTGCCTTTAACATCACAGCAGTGCTGGTAGCCCTCAATATGCTGATCGCGATACTCAACGACTCTTACGTCCAGATAACGGTAAGCTGTATTCTAAAAAAATTGGTTATTTCATCGGTGTCGTACATGCTCGGAATTTTTGTTGGTTCAAGCAAGTTCCGGTATTGCACCTTTGAGTCTTACCAAATCGTAATTCATCCTGTTTAAGATGTTCGTGTCACTCATCAGATTTTCAAAACTTCATTTTATTAACAGGCCAACTTGGATGCTGAATGGAAGTTAACAAGAACCAGATTGTGGTTAAACTGGATTTCCAAGAAGGGCGTTCTTCCTCCACCATTCAACTTGGTGTATTTGTTTGTTCCCATCGTATGCTTTATTCAGCATCTTATCTCAGCTTGCTGCTCAGAGAGAGTCTTAGTGAGTTACTCTAGTGATTTACTATACTGAGCAACGTAGGCAAAGTTTCCTCCTAAATTAGATTCAGGCAAATGTAATGGTGTAATGAATAAACCACCCTGATATCAATGACATTCACTGACATCTAAAGCTGTTCCATTGACAATTAAACTAAAATTGACCTGTTAAATTACCTAGTTACTCCACTATTATATATTTTTTCGTTTTGAGTTCCAATCCGGGTAAATTGTAAATCTCCTTGCAAATTTAAAGTTTCATCCTTTTAACTAAAAAAGTTACGCTGAATGTGAAAATATAACTGATCAATAGATTTCTATTGATTGTTCGTCAATGTATTAAATACAATTGTCTTTATAGTAGCTTTTTGCTGCCAATTTATTTTCAGTAATACAAGCCAAAAAGCCACTTTTTTCTTTTTTTATAGTTACTTTGGAAACGACTTTTGAAAAAGAAACAAAAAATCAGCTGGAAAGTTGACAGAATTAACGAGAAGGAGGTACGAAGAACTGAATAACCGCTCCTTAACATGTTAAGGCTTGAGTGCTAGGAGCTCAGTGATTTGACACTGACTTACAGCTGATCATTGCAGGTTTAACAGTTGGGTTTCGTCATTAAGGGAAGATGATAGTGACTATATTTTGGGTAAATGATCTACGGTCCCTGTTTGTTGTCATGTTTGTTTAACCTTGTGGATCCCATCCTTGAAAGAAAAACGGGATAAATGTTTGATCCTTTCCTTATCGAGCTGGAATGGTAATCGAGCACGATAAATCCATGTTTCCCAGAAACAACTGTTGATCTGAAAAACGATCGTTTACTTCCCCGCTGAAGAAAACAACTTTGAAAACAAATTAGACGTGGTTTTCTTTGAATTTTGGGAGACCTGTGGCCCTTTTCTCAATGCTCCTGGTAACCTTACGCGCTCGAGGCCGTATTCAAATATTTTAATCTAGGAAAAAATACCTGCGGTCTTACCTCAACGCCCTATCCATTCTTTTAAATTTCCTGATCGTTTGAATTTAAAAAAAATTATTAAATCCCTCGTAATGTAAAAACTGCGAAAAGAGTAGATTTTTGGAATTTGAAACTAACGAAATTTTCGAGAAACAAGCCTTTAGTTCATTGCTCGTCCTGAATATATTTATGTGATGGATTAAATTTGTACTCCATATATGTTGCCATCTCAGAGACGAGAAGTGATTCGCAGCCTTATCCTAAGGAATCTGGCGAAGAAATCATACCACACAGAGGCTGAAACTGAGCCAGTCGACTCCGACGAAGAAAATGAGAACGAAGTGGCTGTTACCGTGTTAGAAGACAATTGTTTACACACCAGCCAAGTAAACACGAAATTATGAACATGGAAAATGTTTTTTTTATTGTCTTTGTTGCTATTAAATGTATGTTAAGAACATTTGATAACCTGATAACATAATTGCTTTTATATTACTTTGGGCCACCCTAAGAGTGGTGTAGATCAACGTCGTGGGTTGGAAATCAGGTTATTCATTATGGATTTTACTTAGGGAAGGTCGGGCATTCTAATTTATGTTTTACTGCTTCATTTTTGATAATTTGACGATTTACACTTATGTTTAACAGCAAATTTCAAAAGGTCGGCATGATATTTCCTTAGGAATACATTACTGTAAAAATTTACAAGTTGTTCCCTTGCTATTTAAAAATCAAAATATATTTTAACGCTGTGATAATTTTTAAATTCGCGATGGTTTTTAAAAAGATGTAATATGTTTGATAAGAAATGCTGGACTAAAACTTTATTAATCTAAGGTAAATGGTTTAGTTAATTTTTTTTAAACAATGTACAACATTTTTTCAATGAGCCTTGAATATAAATAAACAACGATCGATTGTACATCATACCGTTTTGTATACTTTTTCCTTTTTTTTCTCTCTCGTTACTGGATAATCCAATTATTCTTGCAGATTTCACTAACATCACGTTACATTCTGAGATTTGAGACTTGGAAGCGTTTTACGCTTAACATTGCGCTATTTTTTTGGCGGTAAAAAGTTGTTCTTATAAAGGATTGACGGGTAAAATTTATCGCCTAACTGGGCCTCATCATCATGGCATAAAGCGAGTTTTATTGAGGTAGTTCCGCTTAAACAATAAAAAGGCTTTTGGAGCTCATTCAAGGGTGACCGCGACCACTAAATAGAAGTGACCGCTTAATAGAGGTGAAAACTGATGTGCTTAAGCGAAAAAAATTTCGGAATTTTGACGACCGACTGCTGAATACAGGGTAACCGCTTAAAACGGCGCCGCTTGGTACAGGTTCGACCGCATATAGCGCTACAAAAAATCTTAAATTTACTTTTATAGTTTCCATCTTTGATGATGGGTCCTGGCCATCATTCGTTCATCTCTTCATTTTTCTACGTACATCATGAAATCGCATGACCTCGAATGAGTCCTATTTTTCAATCGCGAGGGTTGTCAGAAACCATAAACTGGGCTGTGACAAACAAATCAGATTTGCGCATTTTGTCATTAATTATATCAAATATCCAACAGGCAGCATAGGATAACAACTAACAGTTGCGCCGAAACATTTTCGTTTTCTTTGAGGGTTTCTTAAATTGGTTAAATAAAGCGATAGGCGTAAATCGTTTTTCGTTGAGTAGATTATGACATCTTACAAAACACGCTGTTTGAATTTTTTCATCATTCCTCGCCCAATTTTTTTTCTGCAAGGTGATCAATATATGCTTTCCTAGTATTTTTAATTCCTTTTCAGTATAAAGGCTTAAAGAGATTAAGAGATGAAGAAAGGTAGTTGAAATAAATCAGGCCAGATTTTACTCAGAGAAATCATTTGAGAGAGAAAACAAAATTAAGTCAGACAGAAATGATCAGAGAATTAATAATTTGGAGCAAAATTCATGAAAATGAACACCCCTAATTGCCTTTATACCATTGAAATCCCTGACAATCGCATTATACACAAAATTAATTATTACCATGCATTACTCAGCTCAACTATACTTGTTACCTACGAAATAAAATTGTATACATGACGTTAGTTGAACTGGTCAGTTAAACTAGTGTCATATTCTCTCGTTAAAAGAGGTGAAATGAACATAATGACAATTGCCACGAAAAAAATGAATATTAAATGTGGTCTGTTAGAAATTTTCTCGGCAACCGAGAGAGAAAAAAAGCATGACGAGAAAATAAGAGGAATAATTGATACCCTTTTAATTAACCTAAACTTTTGCCAATTACTCCGTCGTCGATACCGGAGACATTTAAACCGAGTGTCAAAATACCTGCACGAGGGCATTGTATATTTTTCAAAGAATCTAATTTACCTGTTTAACAGATCCCACAACAATTCAAACACAACGCCAATCAAGTTCCATTATTCTCTGTTTCCTCAGCGTAAACAAAAGCGTTCTTTTACATGCGTGTGGAGCTCGCGACTCATGTCTTGTACTTTCAAGTTTTGGTTTATGAACTTTGAGTTTCCGTATTTTTCTTTCTTTTAAATGTCACAGTACGTTTATGAATCGCTTTCGGACCAAACTGTGAAGGAAGCCACATCTATTAGCATCTATTTGAATAAGAATAGCGACTTTTGTTATCTACCATAATCTTCAATGGGCTCTGACACGTGAAACGAACGGTGCTCGTAGATTGGCCAGGTATTCACCTGTTTATAACTGTATCTAGCATCTTCACATCAAGAAGCTTGTCTCATTGGCATTAGAAATCTGGCAAGTTTACATGCCAAATTTGAGTGTAAGTCTACTTAAGCACCAATATTCTTAGATATGAAAACACTTATGCTCAGAGGCGGTACCTTATTGTTGATCAGCATCTTTGGCTTGTAGCGCTTTGTACCAACAGAATCTACTCGTCATTAATCATCACTACTGAACAACTTACGGCTTGTTTGAATGTTCTTTTCGTCTCTGGTTATGTGAACAGAGCGAACTTAGCTCTGCCAGCGACACGACTTAAGAAGTGAACCGGACATATTTCCGAAAAGTTGCCACACCGAGGAGTGCGGAATATTCTCTGCAGTTATTAATCGCATAATTTGTAATGGAAGGCATAGAGATTCTTCAGCCAGAGCTAGCAGTGAATGGTATTTGTTGGCATCCAGTGAGTAAAGGGGAACGAAAGCTTTTGAAGGCAGTAGCAAGAGGAGATTTGGATAAAGTTAGAATTGTGTTAGGTTCCTCACTGAAATGCAGTGTAAACAGTGTAAACAACTCTGGTAAAACAATTTTACAAATTGCTTCAGAATTAATTGAATCTACCGTCCGAAATGACATGATTAACTTGTTACTTCATGGTGGAGCCGACTTGGAACTCGCCTTGTTGCACGCCGTGCGCGAGAGTGATGTGAGAGGTGTTGAAATTTTGCTCCAGTTTCACGATCCTTCATCACCAAAGCGGATGTCTCCGGATTCAATGAGCTTAAAATACCAACGTCACTTCACGCCATTGATCCTGGCGGCCTGCTTGCAGAATTTCAAAATTGTAAAACTCCTCTTGGAACATGGATTCTCCATTCCCAATTTACCGATTGATTTAAAAAAGCCTGTTGGCTCAGAAATCAACTTTGATGGAAAACTGGGACTCACTTTGTTTCGTTTAAACAGATACCGAGCTTTGGCAAGTCCCGTGTACATGGCGGCGTCGTTTCTCCAAAACCCCTTCAGCGATCCTGATCCTGTCCATCGCGCATGCGCTCTTAGTAAGGAATTGTCTCACATGGCCGAACGGGAGCATGAGTTCAGACAAGAGTATTTGGAGCTTAGTGATGGTTGTAAAGAGTTTACTGTGGATCTGTTAAATGGATGCCGCTCAATGAAAGAGATCAGGTGTGTTATGGAGATGGAGAACGAAAAAAGTACACCATTAAACACGGATGGAGTGGTTTTGAACATTCTGGAATTTGCCATAGTTACCAGAAATGAAAAGGTGTGCTCATCTTTCTTACCTATCATTTTAAACGTTTTCCTACTTGCCTTTCTGGCTCTCTGTCCGTTAACCTTAATTTTTTTAAACTTAGTGACGAACCCAAGCTTTATTACCTATTCATATAGAAGATGAACTCTTGAAAAACACAGGCATTTACTTTCCGGCGGCTTTTTTCTTGAAATCGCCTCTCCTTATCGGGATTCCTAAACTCAACAACTAATCGTACATGTTATTTTCAGTTTGTCAGCCATCCTTACAGTCAGCTGGTATTGAAGTCAGAAGCCCTCAGACATGTCCCATTCCTGGAAAACAGCCCAGGGAAAAAATTTACAGTGGTGCTTTTATCATCACTTTTGTCTCCTTTGATCTTTGCGATTTGGCTTGCTTTCGAAACCTTTCTGCCCAGACACAAGGTAGCCAGAATGTTCCATTCACCTTGTTTAAAATTTCTCACCAATTGCGGAGCTTATCAAATTTTTCTTTTCGTGCTTATTTTGACTTCGTTCCAACGAGACACGCAGTTCCTGGAATATTCCATCACTGGTGAGTACAGAAGAATATTAAAAGTCAGCATATTGTATTTTTTTATTCCAGCTAGATTTCCTTGAAGACTTGGCTTATTTTCTAAATGTTATGATCAAGCAGGCCAGAAATAAAATAATTTAAGAACAAGAACTTACAATGCTATCACTATACTCAGTTTTAAATGATGGGAAAAACGTTTCACCTTACAGCGCATGCATCATCTTCAGTCTGAAATTTAATACTGGTTCACTTAAACAATTCTACCCAAATTTCTCTTTGCAGATTGTATTTTTGTGGCATTCGTCATCGGACACTTGGTAGATTTTGTTAAAGAAGTTTTTCAACAAGGAAGAGTTCGCTTCTTTGCAAACAAATGGAACTATCTAGCTGTGGTTAGAGTGACCTTGTTTGTTCTTTGTTACGTCATGGGTTGGTTTGCCCGTACAAGTATTGTAGACAGAGGGGATTCTTTGCAATGGGAGAACCATAGCGACGATCGTTCCTACAAGGTTGTGCTGTTTTCCGAGTGTGTTTTTGCTGTGGCAATACTTCTTGCATTTGCGCACAACTTCTCATTTATCGAAGAAAATGCCGTCATGGGCCCATTGTTACAAGCATTCATACTGATGTTGTTTGATGTAATGAAGTTCTTCTTTTTTTTTGTTTTCGCTTTTCTGGCATTTGTTGTGAGTTTCACGAAGTTATACTTGCAGTATGAGAAAGCTAAGGATCATTTTATTTCAAGTAAAGTGATCACAAACGAAACAGACCCCTTGCACCTAGAAAGGTGAGTAAGGGAATTTGTGATTAGCGGTTTATTCTCTCTTGAGATGATTTGATAGATTCACGATGATAGAAAAGTCATCGTTAGGTGTTTAATAAGTTTTGAAACAATTTTGTTTTCCTTCCCTTCTTGTTCCTCTTCTCCTTTTTCGTCGTTCCCTTCCTGTTGTTGTACCTGATCTTAATCTTTCTCCTGCTTTTCCTGTAGTAATGATTCCAGAATACTTCCCTTTAGTAATTTATTAAAGTACTTAAATTGTATCTGTTCGTAGGTTTTCAAGCAGTGTTTCCACCATCTTTTGGTCTTTATTCGGCCAAATCGACCGTGACAATTTTAAAATCGACGAGACAGAATATGAAACAATATGGAGAACAGGCATGGTGCTGTTTGGTGCGTTCAACATTGTAGCAGTATTAGTTGCTCTGAATATGCTAATCGCCATGTTGAATGAATCTTACACAAGGATAACGGTAAATGCAACTTTGAATAGATTGCTGCTCCTTAAGACGGTTATAAATTTGCAGTATATTTTTTACTTAGATCACATTTCCAGTGTCTTAAAACTAAAACCCAAAGTAATGAAAGCAACCAATCGGGGCAAAGAAGGTATCATTGAGAGCCAATGAGGAATCATTTTAAAAGCAAGCAAACTGCTCCTGGGCTAGGGGAAATGGGAGTGGTCAGTGCGCGATTGGTTTTATTCTTGGATCTTACTGGTTGAGAATGTAGCTCGATATTTTTCTGAACCAATCATATAGCGAAGTTAACCCAAACGAAAGCAATCTTGGATTATTTTCATTATGCTCAGCCGTTGAAATCGCAAGCGTTTGTTATCTTTCGGGACGTGAGCCAAGAAACTAACTCTGGTCCACAGCCTCGAGGCTAACCGGAAATGTTTCAGGAATAATGACGTAAAAGCCCAAAGTCCGCTAGCCCGCTATTAATTTTTTCGCCGGGGAGTTTTAAATCAATGATACTAACGATTTTCTGTCAATAAGGATGTGCGATTAACGAGGAAAACCCTTATCTATGGTATATATGTACTTCATGTCGATAAGTGTCATTGCTTTCAGCACGGTATGGCACATACATCTTTTATTTTTCAACGACTTTTATTCAACTTTTTTAACAGACCAACTTAGATACTGAGTGGAATTTTACCAGAACAAAACTATGGTTAAGCTGGCTTTACAAGAAAGGTATTCTCACTTCCCCTTGTAATCTTCTCTACCTGGTTCTTCCACTTTTTTGGGTTTTAAAGAATCTTTTGGGAGTTTGCTGCCCAAGAAAAATAAAGGTGAGTACGTTGTAGGAAGGATTTTCATGATTTCTGCCAGATACTAAAAAAGGAGTGTGGGAGGGAGGGAGGGAGGAAGGGAGGGAGGGAAGGAGGGAGGGAGGGAGGGAGGGGGGAGTTGTGAGTCCGAGTGCAGCTAATACAGAAGAAAGAAAAAGGAAGCACTGATCGACTGACTCTGATTACTTAGCCTGTCATCATTTAGCCTTTCATCATTTAGTAATAAGCGATGTCTAGTACCAGCAGAGCGATGGGAGGAGGAGATTTTTTTGGGGTGATGTCCTTATTGGGTGTACTTGGAAAACACACCGAAACATGGCAGATGATTTCAAAATACCTTTTCAACATGTGTGTTACGAAAAACTTTGGTGTTAGTGTTTCTTATAGAGATTATCAAATTATGATGGCCTTCCCTTAAGCATTATTGAGAGCGAATGCTTCGACTAAAATGGAAAATACGAATATCAAAAAGGATGAGGGTATCTGAGGTTTCTTCCACTGAATTATCATGTGATTTTTCGTCAACTCTTGAAAGTTGGCAAACTACGATTCGTTCCTATTACTGCGAGACAAAAACCACTCGTGATCAGTAGCAATTTGTGTAACATATTTATCTCAAAATAGTTATTTGTGGGAAAGTTCGTTCCGAAAAAGCCAAAGCCCTCCTGGAAAATAAGAAGGACTAACGAAAGAGAGGTAGGAAGACAACGCATTGTATTAATCTTGTGAGCAAAGATTTATTCTGTTTTCGATGTCCTGTAGAATATCTACGAACCCTCTTTTAAGAAACGAGTAAGAATGTGTCAAAATGGTAATGTTGCATTGAATTTTCTCCAGCTACATTAGGCAAGAAAATCAATAGTAATAAGACGAGTCTAATTTCATTTAATGTAAAATATTTATATCACAGTTTTCTTTCTGCCATGGCGAAAGTAAAACCTGGCCCACCAGTTACAATATTTCCTTAAGGTACAGCTGAAAAAGATACCTTGAATTTTCAGAGACGAGAAGTGATGCGCCATCTAATCCTGAGGAACTTGGCTAAAAAGTCATGTCATTTAGAGTCTGGTAACGAGTCAGATGATTCGCACGAAGAATATGACATTGAAAGCACCGTCTCATTTCCGAACAATGATGGCACTGGAAACTTTTCCCATAAGGAAAATGGATACACGGGAAAAACGTATTTGTGAATATGCATACATACATACATATATATATATATATATATATATATATATATATATATATGTATATATATATATATATATATATATAAGTTAAAGAATTAAAGAGGACGCATCGATTCTCTGTAACTCTGAGTTTCGCGCCTAAGCGCTCGTCAGACAGAACTTTCATCCATCTGACGGGCGCTTAAGCGTGAAACTCAGAGTCACAGAGAATCGATGCGTCCTCTTTAATTCTTTAACTTATATATGCTTAGCTCTGCTGCCGTAGCATTGAGCACTTTATGCTAAGGTAGACTCTACCCCCACATTCATTTATATATATATATATATATATATATACATATATATATATATATATATATATATATATATATGAAGACAGGGAGTTGAAGCTGGAGTCTCACGCATTAGCTATTATATACGCATTTAAAGAAAAATGCGTGTACATCCCGACGGGTGATTATCTAACAAAGTTCTAAACGCTATACATGTTTCCGTCATTTAACGTTGGCCTTCTCGCAAGAGCGAGCACCTAGATACCTGGGGTGTGGAGCCGGCTGGCCTCAACTTTTGATCCCAGTCCCTGCGTTTTGGGCAGGTTTGCATCACTATATAACGTGGGTGACTGGACGATAAACATGAAAAAAGGGGGTAGGTTTCTAAAGAAACTGTGGTGCTGCTTCGGTGGGAGAGTATAACAGGGTAATTTAGTATTACCAACCGAGTTGATAACATAAATTGGCCACCGTAAAGAGTTTAAAGGCTGACGTTTCGAGCGTTAACTCTTTGTGTGTGGTTTGAAATGCAGAAAAAGGAGCTGCGCTCGAAACATCAGCCTTTAAACTCTTTACGTTATCAACTCAGCTGATAATACTAAATTACCCTGATAAACACGAAAGCCTTACTAAAAAGCGCAAAAAGAGATACCGTTCATGATCTGTTTGTGTAATCCTGTGCCGATTATTGCTGACTATTTCAAGTTGTCAACTTTCGCCTGTTGCGGCCGCGTGAGATGGAGCAGAAGAGTTCTCATTTGTTGTCAAAATTGATTAACAACAGAAGAGCTGTATTGCTACCAAGAGAGAATGATGAAATCCTTAATAATGAAATATTTCAAGCTTTTATTGTCAAAAACGAGCAGTATGATCAAACCACCGATTTGAAACGAAAAAATTTCAATAGCCATTTACCTTTTTAGAGCGACTGATTTTTTTAACGCTACTGAACTTAGAAAACTAACGCTTAAGGCTTTGACCGAATTTTCGTGTATTCTAGATATTTGCATAGTAACGTATTTCTCGCTAATTTAGCTGGTGCACAATTTTATTTTTGCATTTAAAAATGAAATGAAAATGAGAATTTCATTTTCCGAGAAGCTAATTTAGAAAGTAATTCCTTCTTAAAATCGTAAAAACAGAAAAAGGGGGTAATAAAACCAGCCATTTTTTATCGATGATTCTTGTCTTGCAGTTTCGCGAGTGGAATTAAAATAAAATAGCTGCTTGTTAAGCAAGAATTGGTTTTATATTTTTTTTGGGTTTATTAAATTGATATTGTGGGGCTATCACGAATTCGTTGTCTTTTTGTTATCGAAGCAGACATTTTCCGTGACAACGTGAGCGTTAAGTTGAACCAGTGCTGATGCGTTTTTTGTCAATGTAGTAATCCATTTTGGAATGGTATTATCCGTTATCCTCTTGTCTCTTCGTAATTCCCAGTCTTCGTTTTAGGAAGAAGGAGAACTGTTCCTCCTTTTTCTATAAATCCATAGCATTTGTGTTCTAAAAATATTCTGGGCTCAAAGCCAGACCCAAAGCATGCAACTTTGCTATTCTTCCTACCCCCAATAAAAAGTGTAACGAACTCAATCTTCGTGTATCGCTGCAAAAGTTGTGTTAACACAGCTTCTACTTTTATTGAGAAACCATAATGATTTACTTGTTCCATTTTCTGGTAAAACACAACAGAGAGGAAATTAATATTTATTCAGCCTGAATAAAACTAAACTTGAAATTATCTCAAATTGAATATGCTATTTATGCTGTCATTAAGGTGACAAAATCTTCACGTTCAAGAGCTCTACTAAAATGAGTTTAGAGGCACACATAAATATCTAATAAATCGGAGAGTTTATAGATCTACTTTCTTGGAGAAGGCCATCTACAAATAAAACTTTATGACATAAAAGATTTAACCCTTGCGAAAGGGAGACCTGATTCATCACTAAAACGTTTTTTTTTTCGCTCTCTGTCAGATTCTCTCCATTGACGCCATAATTTAGAATTTGCAAGGAAAATATTTGTCATTTTAGTTAACACACGTTGAAAAAATTAGCTCCCTCGTCAGAAGTCAATAAAAAATTAACACATTAATATCTTCTCAGTGAGTTTGGATCGAGACGTTTTTGGAAGCAACACGATTTTATCATCATATTGCCATTAAGTTTCCCAAACGTCAATTTTATTTGTCTAATCTGACATAAGATATGCAAATATTATATCGTATCCATAAGGGTCTTTGTTGGGTTGTTAGTTCGAAATGAAGAATCTTTAATCTCATCTTTGAGTGTAGTGAGATCGCAAGCAAGTTGTGGCGAGCGGTTCGAAAGTAAAAAAGGTATCTTAAAATAACTAGCAGTGAAAGATTCTCTGGGTGCGGAAAAGGCTGATATTTTTGGCTTTAAGTTTTACCGTTAATCATCAATTAAAAATTAGAAATTAAACCGCCATCTCCTTTTTGACAAAAACTCCTTGGGATGGGTGTAAAGTCTCCCCCCTTTGAGTTAGGCTTAAACTTCGCACAGCATTTGTACGCTTGCAACAAGGCATTCCAGAATTAACATTACAAATTAACTTAAATCCGTCTCGATAATTGGAACTCTGTAAGGCATATAACAAGGGGTTGAAGAAAGAGTTTGAAAACAGTAAAACCCGAGAGGTTCTGTGAAGTTCAAACAAAACATCGTAGTTCTCCTCGACAGTTTTTCTGTCGGCCGATACCAAGAAAATGAAATATACGGAGTATGGCAGCGAGCACGCAGCAAAGACGATTGCCAACCAAATTACAAGACGAGCTAATTGTTTCTTCGCTTTCCTTTCTTCATCATTGCATGTCGATTCCGAGCAAATTGTTCTGGTGAAGTACAATCCACGAATGATTTCAAAATAACAGAAGATGAGTATCGAGGAACTCATGAGGCCAAACCCAGCACAGGTGAAGATGATGAAGGGTTTGTGAAGGAAATACTCATCCAAACTCCAGGGGCGCTTGCAAGGATATTTGGTTGACGAGATGTTGTATGTATTAGCTTGAATATCTGGTATGCACGATAGTAGAGCTAACAGCCACAGAACTGCTATAACATATTTCACAGATTCTTTAGTCAGCTTTGCAGTGCGAAACGGTTTCACAAGCGCCATATATCTCTCCACGGCGATGGTAGAGACTGTAAGCACGCCTGCGTTTATGGTTATAGGAACAATAGCATTTCCCACAAACAACTTGCAGATCACGTCTCCGGTGATACCCTGTAGGTGAACTTTCGTTATGGCAAAATCGTAAAAACCGGGACAGAGTAACAATGTGATCAGGTCGGCCACAGCCAAATTCATCAGCAGATAGTTTGTAGTTGTGTGCATTGAAGAGTTTTTCCACACAATTGTTATAATGATGGAGTTTCCCACAATACCTGGAAGAACGATCAGCGAGTAAATCACCGCAAAAACGATGTCCGCTGTGGTTAAGGGACCATCAGCTTCAGAGCTAGACAAGCTTGCGTTGATCATTTATCCACGTGGTTGGATCTCTTAATTAGAAAACCACGAAAGCTGTTTTCGAACTCGCGATTCTAAGCTTTTTGGAAAAGCGTCTTCCCTCTCCTGTTTTCAGCTGAAAAAATGATGAAGGAGACCTTATCATTTTACTGAATATTCGGTACTTTAGTGAAAACACTGCTGTTGGCTTGTCAGGCCAAAAGTCGACAGCCTTCAAGTTGTTGTTTACATATACGAGTTGAATGCAGGTTAAAATGTAAATTTCTCGCCGAAAACGAAATGCTAAATGTTACGTTGCAGCCGGATATATTTAAACTAATGATTGATTATCAGTTCGGAATAACCTCACGAAGAAGTTTCCTCATTTTATCTTCGGTCATTAATTGTTTGAAGTCATGAATAACAAATATTGAATTTCGTGCCGATATTGGAGCATATGGGCTATTTGTTTCATGAATTAATGCATACAGACACATTTGAAGAATTCAGTTGCCTCACGTCCAAAATTTTTTGCCAAGAGGCACCATAACATCGCCAGAAATCAAGGACATTTCGAGCCCGCTAACAATTATCAGCGGTATATCGTACTATACTCCGGAACAATAGAATATCAAGAGAATTCAATATGGCGGCGATCACGGCTCGATCTGCAAAGAAGAGTGTTTCGTACCATGACTTATACAATTTGAGCACCGCAGATCTTCTATTTGATGAAAATAAAAAGCAAAGAGGACCTGCAAGTAAATCTTTGGGATTGTTCGAGGCAGAGCGATGACATGATGTCAGAATTTTGATTTGCTTTAATTTAATTTTCGCGCTAAGACTACTAACTTTGCATTCAATGCCTGGCATATTTTTATTCCGAAAAGGACCTAAGAACTAATTCATTCATTTCCCTACAAGAACATAAACAAATATGGCCGATGATTCGAAGATCAGCGTTGCTCGTGTTTAACTATTTCAGTCATAGTTTTCAACATGGCGTCTCGTCACTTACTCAACATGGAAAATAAGGGATATTCTGGCGCGTTGGGAAGTTTTTGGATGGGAGGAAATGGCAATTTTACAAGATATTCGGACGCTTCGAACTCTGTAGCAGTCAATTCGATCGAGAGCAGTTGACTTTATTGATGCACTTTCCTGTAATAGGCGAGTGTTTGAGATAGAGAACGACGGATTTTTAAGAACTGTATGGCGAGGAATAGGTCAATGATCAATGACAAAAGAACT